CTGGGTCTCCCATGTCGCTGGCAGGAACCCAGCCTGAGCCTTCACATACTGCCTTGCAGGATGCCATTAGCAGGAAGCTGGGTCAGAAGCAGACCCAGGACCAAGTGTAGGGACTCTAATGTGGGATGTGAGTGTAGCAAGCAGCAGCTTAACCAGTGCACCAAACGCCCACCCCTGCTGAAGTAACCTTGACCCACAAACCTAACAGTGGTGATAACTGGGATTTATGAACACTTAATATGGACCTCACTACTTGTAAGTGCTTATACATGTTATTAAATACACATAAAACCTATGAAGTAGATGCTATTATCCTGTCTTACAAATGAAACCAAAGGCCAGAGAGTTAATAGGTAGTAAATGACAGAGCTAGAATTTTATACTGAGTCCAGAGTCCAAGCTTTAACTGCGATTCTGCCTTACACCAAATATGTAACTAATCAGGCTGTTCTTACTCAAACATCCTAGATGGCTCATTTCAAACACAACTTGGGTTATCTTTTTTTTTTAAGATTTATTTATTTATTTGAAAGTCAGAGTTACACAGAGAGAAGGAGAGGCAGAGAGAGAAGAGGTCTTCCATCCAATGGTTTACTCCCAAATTGGCTGCAACGGCCAGAGCTGCGCCGATCCGCAGCCAGGAGCCAGGAACTTCTTCCGGGTCTCCACGCGGGTGCAGGGCCCAAGGACTTGGGCCATCTTCTGCTTTCCCAGGCCATAGCAGAGAGCTGGATGGGAAGTGGAACAGCTGGGTCTAGAACCGGTGACCTTATGGGATGCCGGCACTTTAGGCCAGGGCGTTAACCCAGTGCGCCACAGCGGCGGCCCCAGGTATCTTTTTTTAAAAGAGAATTATTAGCACTACCATACACTGGCTCACTCCTCAAATGCCTGTGCTTGAGACCAGCCAGGCCAAAGCTGGGAGCTGAGAACTCGATTTAGGGTCTTCCTGAATGGGTGGCAGGAACCCAATGACTGGAGCTATCACCTGCTGCCTCCCAAGTCTACACTGGAGGAAGCTGGAGGCAGGAGGCAGGTGTCAAACCCCAAGTACTGTGATGTGGGATGCAGGCATGTTAACCCGCAGGCCAACACCCGCACCGAGCGGACCATTTAGTCTTAGGTTTAGCATCGACTGTGAGCGGACCCCGTTTCTCCTTAACTCCTCATGCATCTGGTTTCCTACCCCTCCCCAGTAGTTTTCCTCATTCGGTTCTCTTGTTTGTTCATGTAAGTTCAAGTGCCCTGGTTCCATTGGGTCACCTGAAGTCATCTCCCCTTGTACAGCGAGTGTGCTTACGGCCCCTCACCGCGCCTACGTCCCTCGTGATGGCTGCTCTGTGCTTTGTCTCCCCGTGTGAGCCTGCACTCCTCCGAGCCGCATCTATGTCTCTTCTTGCTGCTTCATGCCTCGTACAATCATGCTTTCAAGTATTTTTCTTTATGAAATTTCCCTTCGAAAGATCTCTGTTATTAAATAAGCAAAGAATTTGACTATTGTGCTCATAGACCATTAACCACGAGATTTCTCTATGTGGTTTATTAGCATGCCATTTCTCATTTCTATATTGTCCAGTAGCTCATATATAATGCACTATATATAATAAGAAGAAATAATGAATGCAAATGTCTATGATCTGTGGGTTTGGGGTTTTTTTTCTTTTTTTTTTTTTTTTTTTGAGCCTATGTAAGATTAGTTTAAGTTACTTCGATTGGAGCCATTTCATTGATTTTTTTTTTTTTTTTTGACAGGCAGAGTGGACAGTGAGAGAGAGACAGAGAGAAAGGTCTTCCTTTTGCCGTTTGTTCTCCCTCCAATGGCCGCTGCAGCCAGCGCACTGCGGCCGGTGCATCGCACTGATCTGAAGGCAGGAACTGGGTGCTCTCCTGGTCTCCATGCAGGTGCAGGGCCCAAGCACTTGGGCCATCCTCCACTGCACTCCCGGGCCACAGCAGAGAGCTGGACTGGAAGAGGCGACTGGGACTAGAACCCGGTGTGCCAGCACTGCAAGGCAGAGGATTAGCCTAGTGAGCCGTGGTGCCGGCCCATTGATTTTTAAATGGTGTTTTTCCCATGTGAAATTCCCACATTAGTTTTAATTTAATCGCCCTGATTTTTAATTTGAAATTGTTTTTGATGAAGAATTGTAGGTATCTATGAGGTACAGTGTGACATTTCAACACCTGGATACAATGTATCCTGATAAAATCACAATAATCAACATTGTCCCTTCTTTGACATTGTTTTATAATTAAGGAATCGGAGTGCCTCTCTGCTCATGTGAGTGTCATTAATGGTTTTTTAGATTCAGGGATATGTGGTAAATACAATAAGTAGTGACTTTTGATTAAATGACTCTTGGGACAATACCACACTTTGGGTTTGGGGTATATTTTAATATATATATAAGTCTCTGTAGCTTCTGTTATTTCATTGTTCCTTGAAGTCTTTTTTTAAAAGATTTTATCTATTTGACACAGGTAGAGTTACAGAAAGTGAGAGGAGAGAGAGAGAGAGAGAGAGAGAGAGAAAGGAAGTCTTTTAAAAATGAGACAGTAAGGGGTAAGTTGTTTGTTTTTTTTTAATTTGGGGAGATATGAAGGAAGTGTGTTTGAATAAGTAGGCTTTAAAAGTATTGCGTGCATAGGCCAGCGCTGCAGCTCCATAGGCTGATCCTCCGCCTGCGGCGCCAGCACACCGGGTTCTAGTCCCGGTCGGGGCGCCGGATTCTGTCCCGGTTGCCCCTCTTCCAGGCCAGCTCTCTGCTGTGGCCTGGGAGTGCAGTGGAGGATGGCCCAAGTGCTTGGGCCCTGCACCCCATGGGAGACCAGGAGAAGCACCTGGCTCCTGCCTTCGGATCAGCGCAGTGTGCCGGCCGTGGCGGCCATTGGAGGGTGAACCAACGGCAAATGGAGGACCTTTCTCTCTGTCTGTCTCTCTCACTGTCCACTCTGCCTGTCAAAAAAAGTATTGTGTGCATCTAGAGTTAAAAGAATCAAGTTGCAGGGGCTGGCGCTGTGGCATAGTGGGTAAAGCCGCTGCCTGCAGTGCCGACATCCCAGCTGCTCCACTTCCAATCCAGCTCTGTGTTACGGCCTGGGAAAGCAGTAGAAGATGGCCCTTCACCCTCATGGGAGACGCGGAAGAAGCTCCCAGCTCCTGGCTTCAGATCAGCTTAGCTCTGGCTGTTGTGGTCATTTGGGAAGTGTACCAGCGGATGGAAGACCTTTCTTTCTGGCTCTACCTCTGTCTTTGAAATAAATAAATAAATCTCAACAAAAGGAATCAAGTTGCAAGATTGCTAGAGCACAATATTATTTATGTGAAATTTTAAAACATAAAGAAATCTTTACTGCACTGTTAAGGAACACATACCTAAATGGTAAGACAGTGAGGATGTATGAGAGGACTTGCGAACACCAAATTCGGCATGGTCAGTACTCTGTGTGGGCAGGATGAGGGAGAGATGTGGGGGTCTCTGTCCTATCCGGAATGTGTATGTTCTGTGCTGGTTGGTGGGCATTTGTTATGTTCTCCATACCAACTTCCCTATCGAACGTTCTATAATTTAAAAAAATAAGGGGGGGGGACAGTGTGGAGATTAAACCTCTAAGTTTGTTTAGCTCCCACGGTGGAGTCTCCACTCATCCTTGACCCCCCCCCCCTCAGTTTCCCTCTCAGAAGTGAGCGTTTTACTGGTTTCTTTGAACCTTTCCAGCAGGAATATATTTACACAGAAATTCTCGAGCCACCCTTAAAAGTGAAGTAACCAGTGTGGGCATTTGGCAAAGCAGTTAAGACACCACGTGCCCTGTCCTAGCACCTGGATTCTGGTCCCAGAGCGTCTTGCTAATGAACACCCTGGGAGGCAACAGGTGATGGCCCACGGAGTGGGTCCCTACCACCCACATGGGAGACCCTGATTGAGTTCTGGGCGCCTGGCTTTGGCCTGGCCCAGCCCTGGCTGTTGTGTGCATTTGAAGAGTGAACACGCGAATAAGAAATGTCTGTCTGTCTCTCTCTGGTCTCTCAAGATGTCTCTCCATCTCCTCTTCCCCCTTGAAATAAAGTGAAAATACCTAAACACAATTTTTGAAAGATAACCACTTAGCTTCTTTTACATAAATGGTACTCTTCTCCCTACCCTTTTACACTGTACCTTTTGTACTTGCTAATATGTTCTGGAGACGACTACACATCAGTACGTTACATTTGTAGTTTTAATAAAAACTACCTGTCATCATTACTAATTCTCATCCTTGTTAGTAGTTACCTTCCAGACTTTATCTGCTAACATGCTTACAGGTTGGTTTGCCGCATGGGGTTTGCTTAACCAGCAGGAAATCAAGTTTCTCCCGAGTGCCAGGCTTCCCAGGGTGCCTTCATGGGCTAACTCTCCCTGGCCTGTCTGCTCCAGCCTGGGAGAGGGGGAGGAAGGCAGTGAGGGCGGGCTGAGTTGCCTGCCGCCGGCCAGCAGTGTGACCGTGGGTACATTACCTAGCTGCCCTTGCTGACCCCTCTTCTTCTGGCAGAGGCACTCGGTAGAGCCCCTGCCTGTGGAGCTGCATGGAGAACGAGCGAAACACACCTGCCCGACGGGACGCACCATCCCGTGTAGCTGTTTTTATTAGGCCACCCGTTACGCCGCGGCCGTGCGCCCCTCGCCTGGTAGACCTTGGTCTCTGACCGCCGCTCAGAACCTGCGCCCCAGGGGAGCCCTTTCCGCCGCGCTGCCTTCTCCCGCAAGCGCCGGCGCAGTGGGCGGAGGAGGTGGTGGCGCGCAGCCCAGGGCCACGGCGCCCGGAGTTTTGTTTCTCCTCCTCGTGCGTTGTCTTTGCCGCCTGCTCAAACAGTGATGAACAATTTCATTTAAATTCAGGTCTCCGCGCCACTCTGCAGGGATGTAGGAACTGTAGCTAATTACACACACACACATACATTGTATGTAGCTACCCGCATGCACACGTACACCACCTACTCACGTTGTCCCTCTTCTCAGAGCCACGATGGACACTGCTGGCCATAGCCTCGTGCTCCTCCAGCAGCTGAACATGCAGCGGGAGTTCGGTTTCCTGTGTGACTGCACCGTTGCTATTGGAGACGTGTACTTCAAAGCCCACAGAGCCGTGCTGGCTGCCTTCTCTAACTACTTCAGATGATATTCATTCACCAGACGAGGTGAGGAGTGGACTGTGTGTGTCAGAACGACTTTTAGTGTTAAATGTATGCCTTGTTAGGATGCTATTTTGGGTGTTCGTTATGAGGATACCCTAAGAAATAAGACAGTTCATAATGCTTTTAATCAAGCTCAATAGGTAGGGTTCATGATGGAAGACAAGAGGGAAAACGGTAATGGCTAACATTTATCGAAGGCTTATCCCATACCCAAACACTTAAGTATTAACCCTTAATTAATAATGAATTATAATGTAAATTCTGTCGTCCTGTTCTAGAGAAAAGGAAACAGACCGAGTTGTTGCATAAGTTGCCCATCCAGGGTTGTACAGCTAATAGCTGGATTCAAATGAAGCTAAGGATCTGTGCCCTTACTCATTAAGTTGTTGATTTCCATTGCGTTAGCACTTTGGTAGCAAGGCCTCAGTGTCATAATTCACATTATAGTTCAAAGGCCTTTGGATATTTTTCTCCAAAGAGTTATTTTGCCCTTTTGAATTTGGGTTATCCTAACATAATAGGTGTGTAGGGAGAGAGCAGAACAGTGCTACTCAGACTCTGAGTTTTTAGTAAAGAGTAATTTTAGCCTGTCCAAAATTGCAAGTGATGGAGCACTCGGGTTTTCCTTCAGGGTCCAGCTTCCGTGATACATGTTTGTTTAATTGTTCATTCGTTCAGATCCTAACTAAGAACTTAGGTGAGAGGTGCTGAGCTAGGCCCCGGGAACACCCCCTGCCCCCCAGAAGTTTGCAGTCGGGTACAGGGCATCCGTAACTGCCCCGCGGCCTCCTTGTCTGTAAAGGACCGCAGCAGCATCCTCCCCCTTTGGATGCAGAGAAGGTTAAATGGATCGATGATGGGAAGACGCTCAGAGCTCTGCAGTGTTGGCTGCTGTTGTTGGCGTGGTGAGTCTGCTGCTGAATGGCACACAGGGTAGGCCAGCGTCTCCGGTAGCTCTGATGGAGGTCCTCAGAGCATCCACGAAGGGCTGGCATTCAGCCTAGTGGCCAAGACACTGCTTCAGAAGCCCGCCTCGGGAGGCATGTGGCACAGCAGTTAAGATGCCACTGGTGGGGTGGCATAGAGGCAAAGTCACCACCCGCAGTGCCGGCTTCCCACATGGAAGAGTCCCAGCCGCTCTTCTTCTGATCCAGCTCTCTGCTATGGCCTGGGAAAGCAGTAGAGGATGGCCCAAGTCCTTGGGTCCCTGCACCCATGTGGGAGACCTGGAAGATGTTCCTGGCTCCTGGCTTCAGATTGGCTTGGCTCCGACCATTGCAACCATTTGGGGAGAGAACCAGTGGATGGAAGACCGACCTCCCCCAACCCCCGCCTCTGTAACTCTGCCTTTCAAATAAATAATACATCTTAAAAAGGAAAGGTGCCACTTGGGACCCCCACACTCCATATCAGAGTGCCTGGGTTCAAGTCCCTGCTCAGCTCCTGATTGCAGCTTCCTGCTAATGTGCACCCTGGGAGGCAGCAGGTGATGGCTCAAGGACTTGGGTCTTTGCTACCCATGTGGGAGACCCGGATTGAGTTGCTGGCTCCTGGCTTCAGTTTGCCCCAGCTCCAACTATTGCAGGACGTTTGAAAAGTGAACCAGTAGATGGAAGATCTTTGTCAAAGTCTTTCTGCCTTTCAATAAATAAAAGTCAATTAAAGAAGAGTACACATCCCGCATCAGAATATCAGAATACCTTGGTTTGATTCTTGGCTCTGGCTCCTAATTCTAGCTTCTAATGCAGACCCCTGGGAGGCAGTGGCGATGGCTCAGGTAACTGGATCCCTGCCAACCTGGATTGAGTCCCTGGCTCCTGACTTTAGCCTTGGCCCGGGCACATTGCAGGAATTTGGGGAGTGAGCCAGCATACTCTCTCCCTGTCCATCTGTGTGTGACTCTACTTCTCAAATAAGTGAATAGATAAATAATTCATGAAAAATGCGTATTTTAATAGCTGCAAGGATCTCAAGGGTTTTTTGCAGCAAAATAAACCTATGTTTTCATTCCATTTTCTCATAAGTTTTTTTGAAGTACCCCCATATTTTGGAAGCCAAAATAAAGTTAGCATAACTTAATTTTTTTAATAATTTTTATTTTTTTTTTATTTTTTTATTTATTTTTGACAGGCAGAGTGGACAGTGAGAGAGAGAGACAGAGAGAAAGGTCTTCCTTTGCCGTTGGTTCACCCTCCAATGGCCGCCGTGGCCGGTGCGCTGCGGCCGGCGCACCGCGCTGATCCGATGGCAGGAGCCAGGTACTTATCCTGGTCTCCCATGGGGTGCAGGGCCCAAGCACTTGGGCCATCCTCCACTGCACTCCCTGGCCACAGCAGAGAGCTGGCCTGGAAGAGGGGCACCAGGACAGAACCGGTGCCCCGACCGGGACTAGACCCCGATGCGCCGGCGCCGCAAGGCAGAGGATTAGCCTAGTGAGCCGCGGCGCCAGCCTAATTTTTAAATATTACTAATTTCATTAGACTCTTTCCAATTTTGAAATATTTGTAATGTACTTATGTATGTGTGTGTGGTGTGTGCATAAGATTTCACATCATAACAGTTGTCCTAGTTTAGCGGCAGTGATCATATTCCCAGTGTGTGCAGTCACTCCCTCTGCCTGCTTCCAGAACCTTTTCATCACCCTAAATGGAAACTCTGTCCCCTTAAGTCCATTAAGTCTCAAGTTTTCATTTCCATGAATATTTCAGTGAAATTGACACAGGTGCACTAAACTATGTTGGAAATCATAACTTAGAGCTTATATATCCTTTACTGTCCTTAAGAATGAAAACAGATTGTCTTTTATCTGGCACGTGGGACATACGTATCTTTTACATGTATAAGCGCTGCACTACAAGTAGCACATTGGGCACTGACAGCATCTTCTCATACTCTACACGGCATACCAAGAAGTGACTTTCATGACTGCCCCTGCACCTGTGTGGGAGACCCAGATGAAGCTCCTAGCTCCTGGCTTCAGCCTGGCCCAGCTGTGGCTGTTGCAGCCATTTGAGGAGTGAACCAGCAGATGGAAGATCTCTCTCTCTCTCCGTCTGTCTGTCTGTAACTCTGCCTCTCAAATTTAAAAAAGAAAAAAAAAAAAAAAAAAAAGAACACCTGAAACATACTTAATTCAAAGTTACCATAAGTGGTATATTTATTGTTTAATTCCAGTTTTTATCGTCCTATATGAAACATCCCCTGCCCTATAACCTCTGATCTTTCTATGGATTTGCCTGTTTTGGCAAATTTGAGGTAAATTATACAATAATTGTCCATTTGTGTCTAGCTTATTTTACTCAGCATAGTATTTTCAGGGTTCATCCATGTTGTAGCATGTGTCAGAACATCATTCGTTCTTTTCTGTAGCCGATTAATAGTCCATTTTGTTTATTTTTTAAAATATTTATTTACTTGAAAGGCACAGTTAGAGAGGGAGAGGCAGAGAGAGCGAAAAAGAGATATTCCATCTACTGTTTCACACCCAAAGTGGCCAAAACAGCCAAGGCTGGGCCATAACAAAGCCAAGAGCTTCTTTCAGGTCTCCCACATGGGTGCACGGACCAAGGACTTGGGCCATCTTTCATTGCTTTTCCAGGCCACAGCAGGGAGCTGGATTGGAAGCAAAATAGACAAGACTCAAACCTGCACCCATATGGGATATTAGCACCACAGGCAGTGGCTTTACCCACCACACCACAATGCCAGTCTATTTTATGTTTTTAAAAAGATTTATTTATTTATTTGAAAGTTAGAGAGAGATCTTCCATCTGCTGCTCTGGTTCACTCCCCAGATGGCCATAATGGCCACAGCTGGGCCAGGCCAAAGCCAGGAGCTAGGAGGGTCTTCCGGGTCTCCCACATGAGTAGCAGGGGCCCAAGCACTTGGGCCATCTTCCACTGCTTTTCCATACCATTAACAGGCAGCTGAATTGGAAGAGGAGCAACTGGGACTCAAACTGGTGCCCATATGAGATACCGGTGGTGAGGGCAGCAGTTTTACCTGCTGCGCCACAACCCTGGGCCCTTCCATTATATTTATATGCCACATTTTGTTTATTCATTCGTCTTTTGATGGACACTTAGGTTTCCATTATTGTGGCTACTGTGGATAATAAAGCTGCAGTAAACATTGACCTACAGATATCTGTTTCAGTCCCTGTTGTTCTTTTGGTTATAGATATATTAAGTAAATGCTTACATTTTTCAAGTGCAGGGTACCTTTTTTGTTTAAACTTGATGAAGGTGAGTTGTGTTTTATTTGTTTATGTATTTGAGAGGTAGAGTTACAGAGAGAGAGAGAGAGAGAAAGGTCTTCCACCACTGGTTCACCCCACAAATGGCTGCAACAGCTGGAGCTGAGCCATCCAAAGCCAGGAGCTTCTTCTGGGTCTCCCACTCGGGTGCAGGGACCCAAGCACTTGGGTGATCTTCCACTGCTTTCCCAGGCCACAGCAGAGAGCTGGATCAGAAGTGGAGCTGCTGGGACAGGAACCGGTGCCCATATGGGATGCTGGCGCTGCAGGCAGATGCTTCGTCTCCTAGCGCTGGCCCCACAGTACCTGTTTATCATCATTCTTCTATAGTATATAGAGTGCGTATCACTTCGGAGTCCCTGGGAGAATGTTGAAATAATCACAATATCCGTGTTCTACTTCAGACAGTAGATCAAAGACACGGCCGCAGAAACTGGTGTAAAATGAGTGTTAAGTTTTTGTTGCGGTGTTTCATCGAGGCAGGCGAAATGTGAACTCCATGGGCAGAAACTGCTTTAGCCTGGGGTTGTGCTGTTAACTACACGGCTGGCCACACTGTTCCATCTGTCGTTTTCTGACAGCGAATGCATAAAAATACAGCCGACGGACATCCAGCCCGACATCTTCAGCTACCTGCTGCACATCATGTACACGGGCAAGGGCCCGCGGCAGAGCGTGGACCACGGGCGGCTGGAAGAGGGCATCCGGTTCCTGCACGCGGACTACCTGTCGCACCTCGCCACGGCCATGAACCAGGCGTTCTCGCCGGAGGCCGTGCAGTCCTCCAACCTGTACGGCATCCAGATCTCAACGACCCAGAAACCAGCCGCGAAGCCAGGGCTGCAGGCGGCCCAGGCCCCTTCCGGCAGCGGCGCGGGCAGGGCGGCGACGCAGGGCGACCACGCCCAGCTGCAGCTGTCCCTGGCCATTGGGCTGGACGAGGGCGCCGCGGACGTGCAGGGCGCCCACCGCGCGGCGCAGGCCGGCGCCGAGCTCCAGAGGCCGCCGGCGGCCGTCAAGCAGGAGCGGGGTGACCCGGAGGCCGTGCCCGCGCAGGGCCAGCGCCCGCCCTCCGCAGAGGCGGCGGGCCCGGCTCTTCCAGAGAGCAGCAGCCGGGCGCACGCGTGCCACTACTGCGGGGAACGCTTCGACGCCCGCGGTAGCCTCCGCCAGCACCTGCACACCCACGTGTCCGGGGCGCTGCCGTTCGGGGTGCCGGCGTCCATCCTGGAGAGCAATGACCTGGGCGAGGTGCACCCGCTGCAGGAGAGCCGCGCGGCCCTGGCGCGCCGCCGGCTCAGCGCCCTGGGCGGCCAGGAGGGTGGGCGGCAGCAGCCCGGGCCCGCGGCCCGCGGCCCCGCCGAGCCTCTGCAGATCAGCCAGGTGGCCTTGATCTCCAAAGACGCGGAGCCGGTGGAGCTCAACTGCAACTTCTCCTTCTCCAGGAAGAGGAAAGTGGGCTGCGCCGTGTGCGGCCACAAGTTCCTCCGGCGGAGCCAGCTGCTGGAGCACGCGTGCGCGCACAGAGGCAGGCCGCACAGGCACGGCGGCTGCCCCCGGCTGGCCAGCGCGCTGGCCCAGAGCTTCCCGACGTTCTGCGACAGCTGGTCCGACGTCGCCCTGAAGGGGCCCCGCCTGCCCCAGGAACACCTGGATCTGCCTTGTGCCTTGGAGTCGGAGCTCACGCAGGACAGTGTGGACGCCATCCTGGTGGAGTAGCAGCTTCTGGAAAAGGAAGCGTCGTCCTGCTCTGTTACTGTCCTCCCAAGTCCCCTTGGCTTTGTCCTTCACAGTCGAGCCATCATTTGAAGGTTGCGTATACCAGGTCCTCTAAGACATGAACATGTGGCTGTGAAAATGTAAGCTCCACTTAGCGCTGGCAACAATCGTAAATTATATCACCCTTTAGAAAACAGAGGTCAGTGCAGAAACAGGCAGACCTGAGAGTGAACAGTTGCTCATAGAATTTCTAGTTTTTTTCTAGAATTAGTAAAATGGAATGGAATAGGAAGTAAATGAAATAGGTTTTAAAGACTGTCCTGAGCTATCACTTTTGGATTGTTTCACATGAGGTCAGTCCCCATGAGGATCATTCTAAAATAGTCTCTGCCACACAGAACAGTTAATTGTTTTGTTTTTTTTTTTTTTTTAAAGATTATTTATTTGAAAGAGTTACAGAGGGAGGGAGAGACAGAAACACCTTCCATCTGCTGGTTCACTTCCGGATGGCTGCATCGGCCAGGTCTGAGCCAGGCTGAGCCAGGAGCAGGAGTTCTTCCAGGTCTTGCATGTGGATACGGGGCCCAAACACTTGGGCCATCGTCTACCACTTTCCCATGCCATTAGCAGGGAGCTGGATCGGAAGTGGAGCAGCCAGGACTTGAACCGGCGCCCATATGGGATGCCAGCGTTGCAAGCGTAGACTTTACTGTTTTGCCACAGTGCCATCTCCAATAGTTTTTTAATGCATAACTATGTATTATAGTGTATAAAAATTGTTTTTAAGATATAGCTATACCAAATCATGAGTAGTTTTAAAAATTACTTTTTACTTATTAGCTCTGCAACATTACCCATGTCTTTTATCTATTTTTTTACACATTGAATATACCTCATTGTTAACGAAAACTGTTTCAGTTAGAAGAGAGAAGGGGAAGAGGCAGGCATCAATGCACCTGCAACAGAAAGGTGTGTAAACGTGGACAAGCACATCACACAGGGACCGAGCTCCGTCTACACTGCCTGACGCCCAGGCCGTTACCTTCACCTAGAGCATCTTCTGAGCTTTCTACCCCCGAGGTTCACTTGAGTTCAGTGAGGAAAGTGATCACACACAGATGTCTCTGCCCGCGCCCCAAAGGGTAGGCTAGGTTGCCTGGGTTGATGTGAATCTTCTAAAAGTCACTGGGAAAAAAGTTTTTCCGTGGCACAGGTTTCACGTTTTCTGCCCATAAAGCCAACAGAGGGGCTGCGTTCCATCGTCTGGAACTGTGCTGAAGATCCTTGGCGACAGCTTTTTCTCTGCATACAGTTAACGCCCCTCCATGCTGGTGACATTTGAAGGAATCGCCCAGGGGAGGGCGTCAGTGGTAGAGCCTCCTGCCCTATCCCTGGGAGAGAGCGGCCGGCCCTCGCCACAGAGCATGGAGCGGAGTGGTTCCCACAGTGTTTCAGTTTCGGGTGCCAGCAGTCAAGGAAAGCAGGAGGCCGGGGCTCCCGGACAGCCTCCTGCGCTCCGTGCGCTGCTCTGCTGAGAGGGTCTACGTCAGGCCCTTGCAGCCACCCCCAAAATGTAAGGCTTAGAACATCCCCACCCACAGAGCCCTGAGCCCCTTCCTGGGGACTGCATTTCCAGGCCCTCAGCAGCTGGGTAATTCCAGGCAAGCAGGGAGTGGAGCAGAATTATAGGAGAGTCGACTGGAGAAGAGCGCTAGACGGTGCCCTCGGCCAGTGGGCGAGTGAAAATTCACAGGGCAGCATTCTGTGGGAGAGAGCAGAATCCGACCGGCCGTGGATTGATCAGACGTGACTGAGGGTGGGCGGAAACAAATGCGCTGCTCTTCAGGATCAGAACTTCATTTATTTCTTTGGAAAGATTTACTTATTTGAAAGGGCAGAATCACTGGCTCACTCCCCAGATGGCTGCAACAGCCAGGGCTGGGCTAGGCTGAAGCCAGAAGCCAGGAACTCCATCCAGGTCTCCCATGTGGGTGCAGGGGCTCGACCACTTGGGCCGTCTTCTGCTGCTTTCCAGGCACATTAGCAGGGAGCTGGATCAGTCGTGGAGCAGCTGGGACTCAAATCCGGAACTCCTATGGGTTGTGCCAGTGTCATGGGCACAGCTTAACCTGCTGTATGCACCACAGGGCCCTCCCCATGAACTTTCCCTCACCAGCTCACTGGGCAGTGATTCAAAGCTGTCCCACCCTCACAGGAGGAACCCAGATAGCAACGTTGACTTCACGCACTCTAGGTCATTTGGGATTTATTCCCTAGTGTTATTCTCGTTAAAATGTTTTTTTCTGTCTACTCCATGTGCTTCCTTCCTGCCCAGCGTTAGGAGTAGTGGTGGGTGGGATGGTGGGTAAGGCAACAGCCCGGCTACTACCAGCAGATGGACCAGGCCAGACAGCGCTAATCGAAAGCAGAATGGGAAGACACTTAAGGAAGTTCCTGGGAAAACAGAAGTAAACAAGTATTATTTTGGTGCAAAGAAATCTTGAAATCCATGCATATATTTTTCATAATATACATTTTTCATTGACTTTCTGAAAACCCCTGGTATGCATGGATTTCCTCGTTTTTTTTTCCCTTGCACCAAAATAGACTTCTGTTTTAATTCCATGTCCCATAAACTGTTTGAAGTGCGTTTGCGTATTGAGAAGACAGTGGTTAACTGTATTTCTATTCTTGTTCATGAAGTTCCTTTTAATACAGGGAACTCAAAGCAAATGTGCTTCCCTGTGTCCTCATTTTCTGTTTTAGGAAGTGGAAAAATGTTAACTGCGTTTACAGAAAAAAAAAAAAATCCCAAAAGCTGAATTCCAGAGAACCAATGAATAGTATGGGACTGACCTGAATTTTTTTTCTCCATTCATTCTGAAGACGTGTTTTGTTCTGTTTTAAGATTTACATATTTATTTGGAAGGCAGAGTTACAGACAGACATTGGTTCACTCCCCAAATGGCTGCAACGGCCAGAGCTGGGCCCATCCGAAGCCAGGAGCCTGGAGCTTCTTCCGGGTATCCCATGCGGGTGCAGAGGCCCAAAACACTTGGGCCATCTTCTGCTGCCTTCCCAGGTCATAGCAGAGAGCTGGATTGGAAGTAGAGCAGATGGGACTCGAACCAAGGCCTATATGGGATGCTGGCACTGCAGTCAGTGGCCTTACCTGCTACGCCACATCGCTGGGCCCCCAGACATTTTTTTTAAAGTAATTATCAACCCCAACACTGTGCCAGGGTATAATTTTTAAAGATATGATTCCTAAGAAAATCTACTTTAAAAATTCTTCCAAGTAAAACCTTTAGCCTTGACTACATCAAACTGTATACTAATATATATATATATATATATATCCTAATAATATAGTGTGGTTAGTGTAAGGATTACCAAGGTTAAAATGGAAGTGCCATTTGTATTTCATCCGCATGTCAGGCAGACACCACACAGACATTTTCTCTTCTTTCCGGAGTTTACATGTAGTTGTTCTCTGGAGAGTGGTAGACACTGTTTCAGTATTTGTCATTATTAGCATAACATCAGAACTCAACATCTAATATAAAAATACAGCCTGCCTTATGGAAGAAAACAAAACGTCTTGATTTATAACACTTGAAGGTGTTCCATCCTGCCCTGCCCTGGCTTTCTGATTCCCATGAGCAGGGGTGTTGAGCATTTGTATTAGAATCGTGTCAGTTCTCTCAGTGTTGCTGATAAAAGCCCAACTGTGCAAGGACACCGGCATTCATTCTGCAGCTAAGCCCGTTAACCTCAGCATTCTGAGTTGTAAATGCTAGAACATCTGAGCAGCACTCATGTAGCAGTTGGTAATGAAGCAACAAACCCTTTTTTTTTTTTTTTTTTTTTTGGACAGAGTGGACAGGGAGAGAGAGAGAGACAGAGAGAAAGGTCTTCCTTTGCTGTTGGTTCACCCTCCAATGGCCGCCGCGGCCGGCGCACTGCGGCTGGCGCATTGCGCTGATCCGAAGCCAGGAGCCAGGTGCTTCTCCTGGTCTCCCATGGGGTGCAGGGCCCAAGCACTTGGGCCATCCTCCACTGCACTCCCAGGCCACAGCAGAGAGCTGGCCTGGAAGAGGGGCAACCAGGACAGAATCCGGTGCCCCGACCGGGACTAGAACCTGGTGTGCCGGCGCCGCTAGGTGGAGGATTAGCCTATTGAGCCGTGGCGCCAGCTAACAAACTCATTTTTTGCAGCTGCTTTAGAAACAGCATTACTGCTTGAATTCTGTTACTGTCTCTCCTGTTAGCGAGGAGGTTTCGTTCTTTGGCATTATGGAGAGTAAAACTTGCCAACTTAAACCTTACTGAAAGTTCACCAAACATACTGCTTTATATGTAGGAAGTGATTTTTTTAAAAGCAACAAAGAAATGTCATTCTCACTTCTTTGCTGTTGGTGATCTAGATGGAAGATAGGGAAGGAGAAGGGTGAGGACAATTCATAGTAATTCACTAGTGTTGTTTTAGAATAGTATCAGAGAAGTCTCCAATGAAAACTGGAGGAAATATATGTTAATCATGGGAAAAAATGGGAGAGTGTCATTCCACTGTATGTACAGGAGTCTTGGTGATGCAACTCAGATCCTTGGTGATAATATCAATATTTTCATAGTCGTTAAGGTAAAACTAGGCCATGTGAAGAGTTTTCACGTTACTTGTGTTGGTATGTTTTAAACCAAACGTAGGTCTGTGACATTATAATTAATTTTCAAGAATGAAATCTGTAAGTGATTATTGTCTGTGTGTGTGGTTTGTCCTTCTAAAAGCCCGGATGTGTTAAACACAAAGAACCAGACTGATTTTTTTGTTCTCAGGACCGGAAGAATCCATGCCCTTCAGAAGGGATCTGTGCTGCATTTGGTCACTGGGTAGCTATCACTGCAGTGCCACCAACACTGACCATCATCAAGTGCTCTATTTCATGCCAGATAAACTCATTCCATCAGAATAGGCCAAATGCTACCTTAAAAGGAAACCCAGATTACAAAAACCTGTACAATTAAAAAGAGGTCAAAGTACAAGCAACACACAGCACGTACAGGAGAGCGAAAGGAAACATTGTGGGTGAAACCCCTCTGCCCTATATGGGGCTGTGAATAAGCTTCACAGGCGTTCTTCTCACACGGTTTGTAGGGAGAGGGGGAGAGGGTTGGAACGGAAACAATGGATTTCATGTATTTTACCAAGACAAATTAATGTGCTGTAATCACAAATAAAACCTTTTATTAACTCTGCCCTAAGGATGTGTTCTTGTTTGTTTTTTAAGATTTGTTTATTTGAAAGGCAGAGTGAAACAGAGGCAGAGACAGAGAAGTCATCTATCCGCTGGTTCAGTCCCCAAATAGCTGTGATGGCCGGAGCTGAGCTGATCCAACGCCAGCAGCCAGGAGCTTCTCCCGGGTCTCCCACGTGGGTGCAGGAACCCAAGGACTTGGGCCATTTTCCACTGCTTTTCCAGCCCATAGCAGAGAGCTGGATTGGAAGTGGAGCACCCGGGACCTGAACAGGCACCCATATGGGATGCTGACACTGCAGCTGGTGGCTTTACCTGCTATGCCACAGGGCTGGCCCCTTGTTTTAGGACAATATCACTCGCGTGTTGTCTGCCCAGCACTGAGATCAGTATTGGTGTCCGTGCCGGGGCGCACAGTGGAGGGGCAGTGCTTTTCCAGACACTCTCTCTGCAAAGAAACGTCTCTAGTCATTTCCTTGAAGTTCCTTGCTTCCTGTCCACACTCCTGTCTCCTGCCACCTGTGACGTCATCCAGAGCAGCACTTCTCAAGCACGAGTATCAGGATTCTCCAGAGAAAAAGAACAGGAGTCCACGGCAAGTGTGTATTAGGGAGAAATACGCGTGATTTCCAAAGGTTTTCACCAAAATACACTTACCTTTTCATTCCATTTTCCCATAAGCTTAAAAACATTTTAATTCGAGAGACAAAAGCTCCCATTTGCTAGTTGACTCCCTAAATGCTCACCGTGGCTGGGGCCAGATCCACTGAATCCAAGAGCCAGAAACTCCGTCCAGCTCTCCCATGTGGATAGCAGGAACCCAGCTACTTGACCCATCACCCATTGCCTCCCAGGGTCTGCATTTAAAGGAAGCTGGAATCAAGGATCAAACCCAGACGCACTGATGTGGGACATCAGCATCGGAAGTTCAAGGCCAGACACACCCCACCCTGCCTGAGCTGCTCGCAGCACAGAGCAGTTTATTATACAGAACTGACTTGGCGCCAGCATTGCACAGCAGGTGGAGACACTGCTTGCGAGCCAGCGTCCCACACTGGAGCGCTCATGAGTCCCAGCTTCTCCACTTCTGATCCAGCTCCCCGCCAATGTGCCTGGGAAAGCAGTAAAATAAATAAAATAATGGCCTAAGTACTTGGGCCTTTATGGCCCACGTGGGAGACCCAGATGGAGTTCCAGGCTGTTGACATTAGTCTGGCCTAGCTCTGGCTGTTAGCCTTTTGGGGAGTGAACCTATGGATGGAGTGTTTCTCTGTCTATGTCACTTTGCCTTTCAGATACATAAAATAAAATTTTTTTTTGACAGAGTGGACAGTGAGAGAGAGAGAGAGAGAGAGACAGAGAGAAAGGTCTTCCTTTTGCCGTTGGTTCACCCTCCAATGGCCGCCGCGGGCAGCGCACCGTGCTGATCCGATGGCAGGAGCCAGGTATTTATCCTGGTCTCCCATGGGGTGCAGGACCCAAGCACTTGGGCCATCCTCCACTGCACTCCCTGGCCATAGCAGAGAGCTGGCCTGGAAGAGGGGCAACCGGGACAGAATCCGGCGCCCCGACCGGGACTAGAACCCGGTGTGCCGGCGCCGCAAGGCGGAGGATTAGCCTAGTGAGCCGCGGCGCCGGCCTATAAAATAAATGTTTCTTAATTAGCTCATACAATTATGGAGGCTGAGAAGTCCCAAGCTCTGTAGTTGGTAAGCTGAGAACCAGGAGTGCTGACAGCCTAAAGTTCCAGTCCCAAAGCTGGCACACTGGAGACCCAGAGAGCGCATGTTTGGGTCTGAGTCCGGTCGGGCAGGAGGAGGTCTCCTTTTCATTCTGTTCAGGCTTTCAGCTGGTCGAGTGAGGGTCACCCACTTGAGGAAGGGGGTTCTGCTATACACTCGTCTGCAGAGTGCAATGTTAATCTTATCCAGACACACCTTCACAGATGCCCCCAAGGAAATGTTTGATTAAATCCCTGGGTGATTTATGGATCAAATCGACACATAAAATTAGCCGTCTCACAGGACTGTCCCCTCACCATGGAGCCGTGTGCAACGCGGGGAGGGATAGCGGCTGGAGGTGCTGCCCGCTGTGGACTATGTGGAGGACAGCCCACGACCAGCAGCGGTCCCGGCTGCCATGCTCTGAAAGCCTAAATAAACAACACCAAGAGACAATTTGGGGATTTTTTAAATCCTGGTCATTTTGGGGTGTATATTCTGATAAGGTGATGGAAATATATTAGTTCAGAAGTAAGGTCTATCTTTTACCAAGTTCCTAAAAGAAAAAAAAACATTAAAAATCAGAGATAGTTGAGTCAGCAACAACGTTTAAAATTTATTTGTATAATATCCAAATAATCTTGGAATTAAGATTATTATTTAAGTGGAAATGTGAGTGTAGGGTATGATTTGTGTATGTTCTAAGTATGGCCATAAGGTGGCGCCAATGCACCTTTTAAAAAAATACATCCTACTCAAATTCGGCATTACTACCTCATTCACTGGTAATGAACTACTTTTGGATATTGCTTCATAGCCAAGGCCAACGGGAAATCTCCCTAAAACTCCATAATGTGTTAGGTATTTAGTTATCTTGACACCCCTCTTTATTCAAGATGCTTCCAAATTACATGTCAGTACATCAGAAAACATGTCCCCCCTTACTGTGTGTGTTGCATTGAGCATGTCTGGGGATTTGTGCAAGGCATTAACAGTAAGCCTTTGGGATTTCCGTCCAATCACACTGGCTCTTCTATCTGGCATCAAACAGTCTTGTTTTACTTATTTCAGAGACAGAGATCTCCCATGCCCTGGTTCACTCTGCCAAAGTCAGGGCCAGGCCAGGCCAAAGCTGGGAGATAGGAGCTCAACCCAGTCTCCCACACGGGTAGCAGAGATCCGACCACTTGAGCCATCCCTGCTGACTCCCGTCTACAGGAGCTGGAGACGGGGGCTGGAGCTGGGGCTTGAATGTGAGCATTTTGATGTGGGATATGAGCATCCTAACTGGTGTCTTAACTGCAAGGCTAAATGCCTGCCCCTGAACTCGGTTTTAATTTTTTCTTTTTTAAAGATTTATTTATTGGGGCCAGTGCCGTGACATAGTGGTTAAAGCCACCGCCAACAACATCGGCATCACATATTGGCACTACTGGGAGTCTTGGCTGCTTCACTTCCAATCCAGCTGCTTGCTAATGGCTTGGGAAAGCAGTGGAAGACGGCCCAAATCCTGAGGGCCCTGCACCTGCGTGGAAGACCTGGAGGAAGCTCCTGGCTCCTGGCTTCGGATCAGCGCAGCTCCAGCCATTGCAGCCATCTGGGGAGTGAATAAACGGATGGAAGATCTCTCTCTCTCTCTCTCTCTCTCTCTCTCTCATTCTCTCTCTGTAATTCTACCTTTCAAATAATAAATTATTTTTTAAAACCAGATTTATTTATGTATGAATTTGGAAGTCAGAGTTACAGAGAGGAGAGACAGATCTTCCATCCACGGTTCACTCCTCCATGGCTGCAGCAGCCAGGGCCGAGGCAGGCTGAAGCTGAGAACCAGAAACGTCACCGGGTATGTCTCCCGCTGGGTGGAAGGGCCCAGACACGCGGGCCATCTTCCAGTGCTCATCCAGGCCATTACCAGGAAGCTGCATCAGAAGTGGAGCAGCCGGGACTCAAACCAGTGTTGGTGTTGCCGGCAGTGGATTAACCCACTGCGTCACAACGCTGGCCCCAGTGTCAACTTTTGTGTTTCATTTTTTTCTTCTTTTAGGTGAGAAAGTGAGTATTTACTTTGAGAAAATAATAACAAAACATAAACTTTAGGGGGTGGCGCTGTGGCATAGCTGGTAAAGCCGCCACCTGCAGTGCCAATATCCCATATGGGTGCCGGTTCGAGTCCTGACGGCTCCACTTTTGATCCAGTTCTTTGCTATGGCCTAGAAAAGCAGTAGAAGGCCCAAGTCCTTGGGCCCCTGCACCCATGTGGGAGACGAGGCAACTCCTGGCTCCTGGCTTCATATTGGCGCAGCTCTGGCCGTTGCAGCCATTTGGGGAGTGAACCAGTGGGTGGAAGACCTCTCTCACTCTCTCTCTCTCTCTGCCTCTCTGTAACTCTGCCTTTCAAATAAATAAATATTTTTATATATAAGATTTATTTATTTATTTATAGTATTTATTATATATAATTTTATATATTATATATTATATAATATATAATATTTTATATATATTATATATAAGTATATATTATATATAAATTATATTATATAAATAAACTTTAAAAAGCTGACATATCCACACACATCATGAATCTATAAATTATAAATCTATAAAACACAGTTTTTGGATTCATTGCCTGAAATGCCTCTATATTTTCTCCTGCTTTTTTTTAAGATCTTATTTTTATTATTTATTTGAAAGGCAGAGTTAGAGAGAGATGGGGGGAGTTAATGAGAGAGAGGTCTTCCATCTGCTGGTTCACTCCCCAAATGGCTGCATCAACCAGGGTTGGGCCAGGCTGAAGCCAGGAGCCAAGAGCTTCTTTGGGGTCTCCCACGTGGGTGCAGGGGCCCAAGTACTTGGGGCATCTTCTGCTGCTTTCCCAACCACATTAGCAGGGAGCTGGATTGGAAATGGAGCAGCCAGGACTTGAACTAGTGCCCATATGGGATGCTGGCACTGCAGGTGCCGGCTTTGCCCACTGCACCACAATGTTGCCCCCCAACTCCATTTTTTTTTTTTTTTTTTTTTTTGGACAGGCAGAGTGGAGAGAGAGACAGAGAGAAAGGTCTTCCTTTTCCATTGGTTCACCCCACAATGGCCGCTATGGCCGGCGCACTGCGCCAATCTGAAGCCAGGAGCCAGGTGCCTCTCCTGGTCTCCCATGGGGTGCAGGGCCCAAGCACTTGGGCCATCCTCCACTGCACACCCGGGCCACAGCAGAGAGCTGGCCTGGAAGAGGGGCAACCGGGACAGAATCCGGCACCCAGACCGGGACTAGAACCCAGGGTGCCGGCACCACAGGCGGAGGATTGACCCAGTGAGCCCTGGTGCCGGCCTGTAACTCCATTTTTAACATTAAATTGAAAGATAGTTGAGTGGCCGGCCCCGCGGCTCACTAGGCTAATCCTCCACCTGCGGCGCTGGCACACTGGGTTCTAGTCCCGGTCGGGGCGCAGGATTCTGTCCCGGTTGCCTCTCTTCCAGGCCAGCCCTCTGCTATGGCCCGGGAGTGCAGTGGAGGATGGCCCAAGTGGTTGGGCCCTGCACCCCATGGGAGACCAGGAGAAGCACCTGGCTCCTGCCATCGGATCAGCGCGGTGCGCTGGCCGCAGCGCACTGGCCGTGGCGGCCATTGGAGGGTGAACCAACGGCAAAAGGAAGACCTTTCTCTCTGTCTCTTTCTCTCACTGTCCACTCTGCCTGAAAGAAAGAAGGAAAGAAGGAAAGAAAGAAAGAAAGAGAAAGAAAGACAGTTGAGTAAACACTCCCGTGCTTGCTTCTTGCCTCACTTCATTCTCCACAGCTACAGCCCGTGGAGCTGACCAGTGGTATTTTCTGCAGTCCACTGGTTTTCACTGTGGTTCAGCAACCTCCTACGATCGTGTTCGTTTTCCCTTTCTCCCCTCACGTCCTTCCCTCCAGTTCCATTCTCTTGGGTTGCTGAGAGTGCTTTTCTTTTTATTTCTTCGTTTTTAAAAAAATTATTTTATTTGAAGAGCAGAGAGAGAAGGATTTCCACTTTACTGGTTCACTACCCCCAAGGCCCACAACAGCCGGGACTGGGCCAGGATGAACTCGGGAGCCAGGAGCTCCATCCATGTCTCCCATGAGTGGCAGGAACCCAAGTACTGGAGCCATCATCTGCTGCCTTATCAGGATGCAAATAGCAGGAAGCTGGGGCAGCAGTAGCTGAGACTCGGCTCTCAGATACAGGATTTGGACATCCCAAGCCTTGGCTTAGCCCACTGTTAACCCGCAACCATATGACTGCCCCCCCAGACGTTTTATTTGAAAGAGCTACGGGGGGCGGGCAGACGTATCCCCCATCAGCTGGTTCACTCCCACAATGCAAGAGGCATGAAGCTCCATCTGGGACTCCCATGTGGCTAGTGCCTTCCTCTGTTGCTTTCCCAGGTGCATTAACAGGGAGCTGGATCAGAAGTGGAGCAGCCGTACCTGAACCAGCACCCATACAGGATGCCGGCACCACAGGTGGAGGCTTAGCCTACTACACCACAGCACCGACTCTGATCTTATGAATGTATCCCCGCCTCATTTTTCTGTAGTAGAAGCCATGTACTTCTTAGTCCCAGTCATACATAGCTTTTATAAATGTGGGGGGGGGGGGGGGTCAAGGGAGGGGCCCAACATTCACTCACTATAGCTGCCTTGTAGGGAGGGAAGGCCCTGTGATGTTGGGGAGAAAACACAGGTTACTTTGCCAAGGAGAAAATGAAAGGCAGACCAAAGATTCTCAGGGTGGGAGGCAGGGCCCAAAATATTTTTTGCTGGACCAGTTCCTGGCTCCCACACGGCTGTTTTTTCACACATGTGCAAAGCCTGGAGCTGTGAGCCCAGCAGGCCTGTCCCCTCTCTCCATCACCAGACTTTAACTGTCAGAGAATGGCCTCTGCGCAACGCCTCACTAGGGGGCGCTGCTTCCCCGAGTGTCGGGCTGGCCCCAGACAGCTCAGCTTTTCCTTAGCCTGGTTGAAACACCAAGATTAATTAATATTAATCAATCAACACTGATTGATTAATGTTAACCTGCTAGTTAGTTCATCTTAAATCCCTGGAAGAAGTAAAAATTTTCACTGACAAAGTTCTCATGTGGTGTAGATATCAGAATAAGGCTTTCAATTTCGGGGCCGGCATTGTGGGGTAGCAGGTTAAGTGGCTGTTTGCTACAACAGGTTCTGTTCAAGTCTCGGCTGCTCCACTTCCAAAACAGATCCCTACTAATGCGCCTGGGAAAGCAGCGGAAGATGGCCCAAGGCCATGGGCCCCTGCACTCACACGGGTGACCCGGAAGAAGCTCCTGGCTCCTGGTTCAGCCTGGACCAGTGCCAGCCATTGCGGCCATTTGGGGAGTGAACCAGGAAGATCTCTCTCTCTCTCTCTGTCTCTTCTATCTCTTTCTCTAACTCTGCCTTTCAAATACTTAAAAAATATATGTTTACCCCCCCCCCCCCAAAGAAATAAGACTCAATTCTACCAGGTGAACCATGTTTGTCAAATTTTGCAGAACCCTGCACTAAAATGGGTGTATTTTACTGTTTGGAAATTACATCCTACAAAGGAAAAAAGACTAGTTCCACCCAGATAAATACAGATAGGTCTTTTTTTTAAAAGATATATTTTATTTATTTGAAATAGGGTTAGAGAGATCTTCCATCTCCTATTTCACTCCCCAAATGGCTGCAAAGACCGGGGCTGTGCCAGGCCAAAGCCAGGAGCCAGAAGCTTCCTCCAGGTCTCCCACGTGGGTGCAGGGGCCCAAGGACTTGTGCCATCTTCTACTGCTTTCCCAGGCCATTAGCTGGGCATTGGATGGGAAGTGGAGCAGCTGGGACTCAAACCAGTGCCTACATGGGAAACTGACTCTGACCCCTAGAGAAGTCTTAATGACTGTCTATACATTAGCAATGCTTCAGGAAAGCAATCGGCCAGACATTGGAAATCGGAGATAATTAAGGAAATTCACTCTGAAATCAGGGAACTTACTGGTTAGGCATTTGTAGCACGTTTGTATAAAAGATCAGAAACCCAGTTTGACTCCTTTCAGCTGAACGGAGTCGTGTCCACACAGCAGCCTGACAGTGCACAGGGCCACCCACTCTTGGCCTTTCGGGAGGATGAGGCACTGTTTCTGGCTGCCCTGCCGGAGGAGAAGTGGAATTCTGACCAAAGCTCCTGGGCTGCGAATGGGCCACTGCACGGGGGAGCTCTGCCCTGGACCTGACAGATGAGGCTCACTGAGTGACTGGCACAGGCATGCTGCAGCGGCGTCAGTTCCAGCAGGGACGGACCAGAGTCGAGGTCTAGAGACCTACTGATGGCCACACCGGGCATCAGAGTCTGAGAACCGGCAGTTAGGTTTGGTGTTGTTCTGTGCGCTGCATCTCCCAGGAGCGTAAAAGCAGAAGGCTTGGCTTGGTTCTAACTTTTACCTGAGACACAGCGAGCTCTCACCCCGGGTGCACTCACCAAATGCCCACAGAGGACAGGGACAGCCGAAGCCAGGAGCTGGGAACCCCGTCCAGCTCTCCCACTTGGGTGGCAGGGACCCAAAGGCTGCTTCCTCCCACGGTCTGTATTAGCAGGAAGCTGGAGTCAGGAGCTGGAGCTGGGCATTGGACCGAGGTGCTCTGATGCAGGACACAGGCGTTTTACCTTGTGTCCTAACCACTAGGCTAAATGCCCACCCTGAAGGCCTGCACTTTATGGCCATAGAAAAGAAAAAAAAGTTATTCACAAAGGAACCAGGGACTCCAGATTTCAGTATTAAATTCAGCTCTAAGAGGGATCAGCAGAATCACCTATGAAGACAAGCTCTAGAAGGGGTGGTGTATCTTTCTTATTAGACATAAGTGATTTAGGGGCTGGCGCCATGGCTCACTTGGCTAATCCTCCACCTGCAGTGCCGGCACCCCATATGGGCGCAGAGTTCTAGTCTTGGCTGCTCCTCTTCCAGTCCAGCTCTCTGCTGTGACCCAGGAGGGCAGTGGAGGATGGCCCAGGTGATTGGGCCCTGCACCTGCATAGGAGACCAGGAAGAAGCACCTGGCTCCGGATTGGTGGCCATTTGCGGGGGGGACCCAACGGAAGACCTTTCTTTCTCTCTAACTCTACCTGTCAAATTAAAAAAAAAAAAAAAAAAAAAGGAAAAAGGAAGGGAGGGAGGGAGGGAGGGAGGAAGGAAGGAAATAAGTGATTTAATACAACTTTTAAACATTCTGCAAAACATGAGACATTACACACCTGTGATGCTTGTAGATGAGGAAGACATTTTGCTTTGGAACTAGATTTAGCTTTAGGACTTCCTAGATAATACCAACTTTTAAATCTGTTCCAACACTTAAAAACTACGCTTGACTGGGGCTGGCACTGTGGTGTAGCAGGTAAAGCCACTACATGCAATGCCGGCATCCCATATGGGCGCCAGTTCAGGTCCTGGCTGCTCCACTTCCCATCCAGCTCTCTGCTATGGCCTGGGAGAGCAGTAAAGATGGCCCAAGTCCTTGGGCCCCTACACCCACGTGGGAAACCCAGAAGGGATGCCTGGCTTCTGGCTTCAGGTCAGCCCAGCTCCAGCCATTGCGGCCAACTGGGGAGTGAACCAGCAGATGACATAGACCCCCCCCACCCCCACCTGCCTGCCTGCCTCTGCCTCTCTCTAACACTCCCTTGCAAATAAATAAAGAAATCTTGAAAGAAAGAAAGAAAGGAAGGAAGGAAGGAAGGAAGGAAGGAAGGAAGGAAGGAAGGAAGGAAGGAAGGAAGGAAGGAAGGAAGGAAAAGAAACTACACTTGTATCTCAGTGTCAGTGGGGTATTAGTTCTATGGCCCCATACACAGCAAAATCCACAGATGCTGAAGTCCCTTATATAAAATGGCATAGCATTTGCACATAATATGCATGTCTTCCTGCAAACTTTAAGTCATCTCTAGATAACTTATCATTCTAATACAAATCCCATATATATAGCTGCTAAATCGTATTGCTTAGGGAATAATGACAAGGCAAAGTCTGTACAGTACAGAGGTACAAAGGTAACTTTTTCCTCCAAACATTTCCTCTGTGGTTGGTGCAGCCCATGCACCCATAGGGCTGACAGCGGAGTCTCCTGTGGGGTCCCATTCTCCACACTGGTTGCATGCAAGAAAAAACAGGGTTATTGTACAGGGTGGGCATCGTGGCACAGTGGGTTAAGCTGCCACTTGCAACACTTGTATCCTGTATCAGCGTTCCTGGGATCAAGTCCTGCCTTTGCTTCTGGTCCAGCTTCCTGCTAACGTACACCTGGAAGGCAGCAGATGAGGATCCAAATTCTTGGGTCCCTGCCATCCACGTTGGAGACCAGGATGGAATTTCTGCCTCCTCGCTTCAGCCTGGCCCAGTCCTGGCTGTTGCCGGCATTTGGGAGTGAACCAGCGGATGGAAGACCTCTGTCCGCCTGCTTTCCAAATAAGTAAACTTAAAAAACAAAACCAAAAAACGAGATTGTTAACCTTAGCAGAATGCAGTCAGTGCCTCCGTGCACACAGAAAGTTTGGAACACCCAGCTTTAGCAGGTACCATCTGAATGAGCATTTTCGTATCAAGACAGCGGAGTTGTTTGGAAAATGTAAAGATTCTTAGCACTTACAGGCTGGCATAAAGCAGAAAGGACACCTAGTGAGGACAGCGAGCGAGGATCAAACCCGTTCTGTCAAATCCGCAGACGGCAATGGGTCCAGAGGCACCAGGTCGCCTGAATGAGGTCCAAGTTGCAGTGTTCACACGGCCCTGGCGGGAGGTTGCCCCTCGGGTTGCTGACAGCCTGCGGAACTTCTGGCAGTGTTCTCAGGAACCCATCAGTGTTCAGTGTGATCTTTCCAGCCTGGGAACTGAACGTCACCCCCCCGCACTGGAGAGGTCTGGCCAAACAACTTAGCGTTTATTCTTAGCGTTTATCATCAGCACACAGAGAATTCACCTTGAAACCTTTTTTCCACAGAATCTTCTTTCTTTAATAATAGCATCTGAGCCACAGTCATATAATACTAATTCTAATGAGAAATACAAAATGGAATTTTACTTCCATAAGAGCTCATCCACTTAACATTTTTACAGACAAAGGACTACTATAAATATGTAACATTATGCAGGCTTCTTCCTGCACCTAGTCACAAATCAGAGTGAATACACTGTGTAACCGCTCAGGCACTGAGAGCTTGCAGACTGCTGTATTCACACCACACCTGCCCCACGCCAGAACAATCAGCAGCGCTTTCTACTCCCCTACATGGCACTTGAGCGGCAGAATCGTCCAGGGCTCTCAGCCTTCACCTCTGCCCTAGTTCCTCTCATCACTGCTCCCTAAGCTGAGCCCCTGGAGGCCAGCAAACCTGTCCCATCATTAAACAGCTTCTGGCTTGTGTTATGCCTAACACATGTGTTAAATCAGATGGAATTTAATCACGACACCCAAGTTTACATCACTTCTTCCTAAAATTTCTTGGTAACTAAATAAGGATTATAAAAAAAATTTTTTTCAAAAAGGTACTAGGATCGAAATTTGGAATTCTGTACAAGAAATTTCATATTACACAATAAAATATAGAAATTTGAACCTAAAGAACTCTCAACCTTGAAGATATTAAAAATGCAGATTGGCAGACAGAAAAGTCAAACTTTGATGTGTAGCTTATCAGAGGAAATTAGAAAGTACACTTCACATCTCAATAAAATTGACATTAAAAGGGGAATTCCAAAGTCTAACAATTATTTTTTTTTTAATTCTGCTGTAAACCCCTAAAAAATTCTTAACTGTAAAAAATAAGGCAACTTGAAGTTAGAAATATACACATGAAATTAACCGGATTGCTTGGAGCCAGATGTGGCTGGTCTCTGGTGATTCTGAGCCCAATTTCTGCGAGACGCCTATCCGCATATACTGGTGAAACGACAGCCTCTCTCCGGAGTAAATCAAAGCGTCTCTAAGGCCCTACTAAACAGCAGAACAATTGAGATCTCGCAATCTCATGCTGTCAGGTGCATTACCCTGGAAGAAAATCATGCAGACAGCTTCTCTGAAGAACTCCAGTTGTGCCCCCTGCTTATTATTCTTTGAGGTGGAGGAGGTGGCAGGGAACATAATTCTGTTTGAAAGCTCTTTTGTTTTCTGCTACTTTTACTTCAATGTTACCAGGAACTATTTTTGTATCCTATAAGGTGGTTTGAAAAAAAATGGCAAGTGCACAGTGCTACGTACAATAAGGGAGACTTTTCATAATCTCTGGGTTGTAAGAAGCAAACTTCTCTTAAAAGAGGGAACACAGAGGCCAGCACCACGGCCTAGCGGGTAAAGCCACTGCCTGCAGTGCCGGCATTCCATATGGGCACCGGTTTGAGTCCGGCTGCTCCATTTCTGATCCAGCTCTCTGCTACAGCCTCGGTCAGAAAGAAGCAGAAGATGGCCCAAGTCCTTGTGCCCCTGCACCCATATGGGAGACCTGGGGGAAGCTCCTGGATCCTGGCTTCAGATTGGCCCAGCTCTGGCCACTGCAGCCATTTAGGGAGTAAACCAGAGGAAGGAAGACCTCCCTCTTTCTCTCTGCCTCTCTGTAATTCTGCCTCTCAAATAAATAAACCTTAAAAAAATGAGAGGGGATAGAATATGCTGAAAAAAATGAACAAATACTTGATTAGCTCCCCCAATCCTGTAAAATTCCAAGTTCAAAGAGAAACTGAATCCTAGCTAATAAATAAAAGCACTAAAAGCAGCATTTAGATGAAAATTAATGTGGTGTTCTTAAGTTTAAACCTTTTAAATGAACATTTTTATGTTGTCAAACGGATGCATCAGAACCTATTTACATTCAGTGAATGCTTTGCATTTAAGGTCAAATTACTTAAAATAAATACCATTATAATAAAAATATTTTTGAGACTTGTGAGCCATCTGATTCCTGATTATTTCTATGACAATTAAACAAGTTGGGTCACTCTAGAATTCACTGTAAAATGATCTGGCCACATAGCAGACAGAATGAGACTGAGACCAATTAATTTCCAGATTCCTTTTCCAAAGAGATACTCTCAACAGAAAAGACTGAGGGAAAATTGCTTAGGGATGGATGCAGTGAACACACATCTCATCATAAAGACAATAATATATTCTACCCAAAAATATCTATAAGAGCACAGTGGAAAAAAAAAACACCTACAACTACTTAAAAAGTTACTTTCTTAACCAAAAAGACCTTGTAACTGCTTTTAAAAATCCCAAATGTCTAAACCTTCCAAAAATATTTTTAATAACTCATAAGTGCTATGCTCATTCTTAAGCAATTAGTAAAAGCTTCCAACACAGATATGTTGGCTTGGAGCCATCCTTGTAGAAAATGAAGACCAGAGTCTTCAAACAGGGCTAAATGCACTCATCTTCATCGGGTTTGCCCACTGTTCACTTTTTAATGTGATAGGAGTTTTGCTGGTAGCTGTTCAAGTCCGTTAGCACCACATATAGTGAACTGAAAAGAGTCTTTTCAGAATGACTTAGCGGTTTTTTTCCTTCATGCTTAAGAACTGTAGAATTTAAAGAAATTTATTTCCTGGGTCATGTATGTAGAAAGACCCACTTTCCATCTTGCTGAGCTGAAGGATTTCTCCCAAAGGCTACAAGCATGAAGGGAGGAAAATGTGAAGATACTTTCGCACGTCAACAAATTCAGCAATCACTGATGAGATCAGAAGCTACCCTTTAAATAACTGAGTAAACTGCAAATAAGCCCTTTTCCTCTTGGTAAAGTATTAACTGGACTGAAAAATCACAATGAAAAACTTGATTTTCAATATCCATGAAAAAAGCTTTTTGCTGGTCTCTCAATACCTAGAGACAATGAAAGAATACTGGCAATTAAAATAAAATGTGCTGTAGCAATAACTTTGCTCTTTCTAGTCAACCATGCCAGTGGCTCATTCTTGGCCATGAATCAGTGACGTTTTCACTAAATTACTGTGGCCTCCTAGGACCTTAACTTCCAAGCCTGGATCTGACTTCCTTTACTCTCCCCTCTGGGAAGAGAGGCTGACTAACCAGCTTCTCAGAAGTGATTTTGCAAGGTCAGTGTTATGGTGAGCCGTGGCCATTTGCTACTTGGGAAGTCCACCTCCTTCCTTCTATTGGACAAAAAGTAACCTTCTCTTTGTCTTGCTTTTGTTGTTTTTTTCTTTAGCAGATCAGCCTCTGTAGAAATAGATGTATCCAGGCCTACTGGGGCAGGAGGAAGATGGGGAGGAACGATGCACTCTTTCCACACTTTTGTACGTGCCTGGCTGAAGGAACCAGTGAGTGGCATTTGCAAGGAACAGTGCTCAAGACTAGAAACCACTCACGTTTAATTCCAACATGCGTATTCTGCACACTCACTGCTGAAACTGACAAAATACATTTCTTGAGGTGAGAGGACTTGCTTTATGAGTGTAATAACTAAAAACCACATGTCACTAAAAGAGCTCACCCTAGTCATCATCTTAAACAAGATAAAAACGCACCGTCAGGAAAAGTTTTTGAAAAAAAATGTTTCAACCGGACTCTATGACATCAGAGGACATGAAAGAGCCTGGGGCATACGGTAAGTGCTTGATAAATACATCCTTTCTCCCCAAAGCTCTCCATTCTCCACACCCATCTTAGTCACACCCAGCGCTTCACTCGGCATTCCAAGTCTGCACAGACTTCCTCCAATCCGGAAGTGACTGCGTCTCAGCGGACTGGAGAGTTTTGTAGGAGTTCTCATTTGGCACTGAATAACAAATAAATAAATGCCATAAATGTGGAAAATAATTCACCAGGAGCTTTCGGCCCTCTCCCAGGATTCAGAAATGAAGTCACTGCAGGGGGCTGTTTATTCTGTTGTCATCAGCGGCCATTTCATTGACCAGCTGTTCTATAGACAACTGGATGGCATTCTTGACGAGCGAAGACGCTGTTTCTATCAAGAGCGTCTCATACTGTTCTGAAGTTCTCCCCTCCACACCACCATCATTGTCCACTGAAACTAAGAACGGCTTGGGGACATTTTTCGACCTCTTCACATCGAATTCACTGATTTCCGTGTCTGTGATAATAATGGCAATGGGCTCCATCCTTTTGCTCTCCTCTGCTTGGGGTTTCTCTGCAGGGACGCCATTTTCTTTCCAGTCTGATTCCTGGCGCAATCCAGAGTCTTCGGGCTCAGTCTCCGCCACGGCCACCTCTCTCTCCGAGTCTTCCCGATCCTGCCGGCTCTCGGGGACGCTGTCCTCGGCTTCTGCCTCACTGCGAGGCTCTGCACCTGCAGCCTCGAGCGCACCGGCTGGCTGGGCTTGAACTCCCGGTTCCTCCTCCTCCTCCTGCGCCGTGTCGCTGTCTTTCCCAAGGACGAGCGCTCCCGTCTGCACAGCAGGCCGCCCGCCATCGGAACCCAGCTCCACGGCGATCACTTGCTCCCCGGAAGGCCCGCGGCCGCGGCCAGGGGCCTCAGAGGCCTCTGGGGGCGCCGGGGCCGGCACGGCCTTGGCTGCCCGCTCGGCCGACGGGGTCCGGGCCCCGGTAGTCGACCCTTCCGCCTCTCCCTGGACTCTGCCGCTGCAGTCGGAGTCCTCGAGAATCTGGGAACGCGCGCCCTTCTTGCCCCCTCTTGAGAATTTCACGCAAGGAATCTTCAGTCTGGATCTTGGCCTCTTCTTGGGCAGGGCGGCGTCCTCGGCTCGGACGTCGGACCGCGCTTCCTCCTCCTCAAGCCTCTGCGCCTGCGCGGAATCCGCCCGCTTCCGGCGCGTCACGAGGCGCTGGAGGGAGGCCCAGGCGCCTGCGCGCCGCGGGGGCTGATGGGAAGCTCCAGCGCCCGCGGGGCCAGGGCCGGGCCTGGCGGCGGCCGGGCCCTCAGAACCCGCCGCGGGCTTCGGCTTTTGCTTCGGCGCCGGGGCTGCTTTCTTCCTTCGCTTGAAGCACAGCGTGGCCGCCTGGTCCCCCGGCCTCTCACCCTGAGGGCTGGCTTCCGCCGAGCGCCCCTCCTCCTTGTTCTCGACCTGAATTTCGGAGACCGAGGTCTCCATCTTCACGCTGCTCGCCCTCGTTCCTCCACGGAACGCTCTGGCTCAGCAGCCTTCGTGGCCCAGAGGTGGGCAGAACGCACACGGCCCGCGCTCCCTCCAGGTGGGTGCCCTCCGTTGCCCTTACGCCATGCGGTCGCTGCAGGCGGCTGTGGGCACACGGGGCCCGCGGGCTCTACGGCTTGCAGCGTCTCTCTCGGATGTCTTCATGGAAGGTCTTCACTCGATCCATTTTTGCTTTATTTAAAGATGAACCTGGGGAGAGAAGAGACAGCGGTGTTTCATTTCTCCACGAGCCTTTCTAGAGACTGTTGTAGTCGACTGCAGCTGTTACTGCACGTGTTTGCCATACAGTAGCTCTCTGAAGTGACTGGACAACAAAAACTGGGGTTTACTTCTGGCCTATCAAGAAGCTTTCAATGCGAATCTATTTCGTGCTTTTCCCTTCCTTAAAAACTTCGGGCGGGGGGCGGGGGTACAGCGCTGTGGCATAGCGGGTAAAACTGCTGCCTGCAGTCCTGACATCCCATATGGGCGCCGGTTCCAGTCCCGGCTGCCCCACTTCCGATCCAGCTCTCTGCTATGGCCTGGGAAAGCAGTGGAAGATGGCCCAAGTCCTTGGGCCCCTGCACCCGCGTGGGAAACCTGGAAGAAGCTCCTGGCTGCGGATCGGCGCAGCTCTGGCCGTTGCAGCCAACTGGGGAGTGAACCAGTGGATGGAGGACCTCTCTCTCTCTCTGCTTCTCCTTCTCTGTGTAACTGACTTTCAAATAAATAAATCTTTAAAAAAAAAAAAAAAAACTTCATTACGTCTGCTAGCAGTTCTTTAGTTGTGCTGTCCTTATGAACTGTCCGTGACCCTCCGTTGCAAGTTTAGCAAAGAACAAAGACCAACCACACTGAAGGGCAGGGTGACAAGCAAGCTAATGCCATTTGGATCACGTGTAATAAAGAATTTCCCAACTGCCAAGGACTTTAGAGATTGAGAAGCCACATGTCCAGCCAGATGAGCTAGAAAGGGGGCAGCTGGCTTGCTGAGAGCCAGAGTTAGCACAAGTGCCTGACTCCCGGTGTTCTTTCCATTCTACCAGACGGTTTCTGTTCTAAAAATGTGTTGCATCACGGAGGTGCTACTTCTCAAACATACTCTTTGGAAAATTTAACATTACTGTCATTTGTCACTTTTAAATCAGCTGTATAATTCTGGCATTTTCACTGGAGTGTCTGCTGTTCAAACTTCTCTACCATAATGTACACAGTGGAGAGTCAGTCATTGAGCGACTTTTTTTTTTTTTTTTTTTTTTGAAGATTGATTGGTTTACTTGAGAGGCAGAGTTACAGAGAGAACGGTAGAAACAGATCTGCCATCCACTGGGACCAGGCTGAAGCCAGGAGCCAGGAGCTTCCTCCAGATCTCCCATGTGGATGCAGGGGCCCAAGCACTCGGGCCATCTTCCTCCTTCTTAGGCACATCAGCAGGGAGCAGGATCAGAAGTGGAACAGCAGGGACTCAAACCAGCTGCAGGGGATGCCAGTGTCGTAGTTGGCAGCTTAACCTGCTATGCCACAGTGCCAGCCTTGTAATTGAGCAACTTTTGCATCTTAGGCTGTGTTAAGCGTCATAGTTACTTCTCTAATCTCTACTATCATGTAAGAGGGCTTCAAATCAAAAGATTGGTTTAGGAGCTGGGGCTTGGCCTAGTGGTTAGGACACCATTCGGGATAACCATGTGGGCTGGAAGACCAGCTTCGTGGCTCCTGTCTCCAGCTTCCTGCTCATGTGCACCCTGGGAAGCTGCAGTGGTGGTTCAAGTGTTTGCCACCCACACAGGAGACCTGGATTGCATTCCCAAATCTCAGCTTCAATGGACCCAGTCCTGGCCGTTGCAGACTTTTTGGAAGTGAGCCAACAGATGGAAGTTCATGCCTTCTTTCTCTGTGTCTCTGCTTCATAAATCATTTTTTAAAAAAGATAAGTTTGGGGCTGGCGTTGTGGTGCAGTGGGTTAAACCTCTGGCTGCAATGCTGGCATTCCATGTGGGTACCAGTTCCAGCCCTGGCTGCTCCACTTCCAATCCAGTTCCCTGCTCATGCACCTGGGAAAGCAGTGGAGAATAACTCAACTCCTTGGGCCTCTGCCACCCACATGGGAGACCCGGAAGCTCCTGGCTCCTGGCTTCAACCTGGCCCAGCCCAGCCATTGCAGTCATTTGGGAAATGAATCAGCAGATGGAAAAAATCTCTCTCACTCTGCAACTCTGCATTTCAAACAAATAACATTTTAAAGAAATAAGTAAAAAATTAAAAGTTTGGTGCAAAAAATTGAAATCCACAAATATAGAAGAGATCTTCACAAACTTCATGGAAATGAAAACGACAAAATGATGCATGAATTTCAAGTTTTTTTTTTTTTTTTTTTGGTGTACAAATAAACATCTTTTCATTGCATTTTCCATAGTTTCTGAAGTCTCCTCGTACTACAGAGTGGATGGCGTTCTCACCATGCACAGATGAAGCAGTGGCCCCACACTTCCCAGCACAGTGGTAACAGAGCTCAGATTCAGTCCAGATCTGCCTGGTCCTGAAGCCTGGTGCTCTGAGGTGGTGCTCTGTGAGTTTCACCAGAAAACCAACTGTCTGGAGTGGCTAATCTGCAACAGAACCATTCATGTAGATTCTTGAACAGTGTTTAACGGCCATTTTATTAACCGTAACGCAGCCCATCAGCTCAGCCTCGAACCAAGGCTAGACCGAATTCTTGCTATTCTGAAGCCAAACTTTTGAAATCCTTTATATTTTACTGTCTTGGTCAACTAAGTCAAAAAAAAAAAAAAAAAAGCCTAAGATAAACTGACAAGCTATGCAATCAGCAAATAGATTAGTTTCATGTACACATAAAGGTGCATTTGAAAAGGAACCCACAGAATGCTACCCAGGCACCCAAGAAAGAAGGAGTGAGGCCTCGAAAAAAAGTCATATGACCTAAAATAAGCTAAGAGACTCTTTCCTCAGACGGTTTTTATGCAAATCCCTCACGTGCGTCTCATTTAGGAAGCCCTTGATTCTATGAACTAGAGAAAGAACTGGAACCCTGAACATCCGTGTACAACCTAAGCAAATATTCCCTTAGGTTGCATCCTTCATGCCTCTAACAGAAAGAATCCTTCTAGAACCACGATGGAATTCAAATCTAAACGTCTCCCGGTGCCCCTCTCACCTAATGCCGCGGTAAGCGCTGGACTCTGAGCTGGTTAGAACTCTAAGCCGTCTCACCTCTGGTGGGTTCTCAGCCCCTGAGCCTTTTTTATTAAGGAGACGGTGTTATTCCTGATCGAAATACTGAAGTCAGATCATGTTCAGGAATGTGTCATCTGCAACTAACCTGGATTGCTCAAAGACAATTTCTTCGAGACGCTCGGGTGAATGCATATCACACTGCAGAAATAAAACAGCCACACACACACATTCTGACGGGGTGGGGGTGGGGGTGGGGGGGCTCAATCTGCAGACAGGAGACCTCTGCAGGTGACTCGCCCTGGAGCCTCCCGAGACCCTGCTGTCGTCGCCGCAGAAAGCAGAGCACCCACGACCCCGCAGCAGCCAGGGCCCTCGACGCTTCCTCCTGCAGGGAGTCAATCTCTCCTCCTGGCACGATACAGAGAGCCCAGGATAAAGTCCTCAAAAAAGGAAAATGCCGGGGGCGTGAACAGAGAACCCAGCTTCGAGCTCGCTGCAAAACGGTAATGGCCAGGAACCCATCACCACATCTTACCTCCCCCCGCCCCACCAAAAAAAAAAAAAAAAAAAAAAGACGGTAAGGAAGGAAAAAAGCTACCGGGCAGCCCCGGCTTCCAGGTCGCGCTGCAACGCCAAGCGGGAGGGTGGGCAGCGTGGGCAGGGGCGGCCCTGGCTGCAGATTCCTGCTGACCAACGAGCGCCCGCCACCTCGGGGCGCTCCGCAGCCCGCGCCCGCCGCCCACCTCCCGCCCACCCCGCCGGCCAGCCCGGCCACCCTCCCGGACACTGCCCCGGAGCCTCCTCCCCGCCCTGCCTCCACTTACCCAGAGCGCAGGGAACGGCCAGCCTCGTTCCCGGGGTCGGGGGCGCGCCCCGGCAGTCGGCGAGCCACAGTCGCACCCGCAGCCAGCAGCCCTCTGCAGCGCAGGGACCGCGGCCCCGCAGCGCCCCCTCCCCAGCAGCGCGGGGACAGGCAGGCAGCGGCGCCAACGCGCGCGGAGCGGGCGGGGGGCGGCGCCGGGGCGGGGCTCGGGGCCCCGCCTGCGAGCCGTGGGCCCCGCCACGTGCGCCGGCCGCGCAGCGGTCCCCCGCAGCGGGTACCCCCATTGGACCCCCGCAGCGGATCCCCGCGGGGCGAAGGCGGGAGAACATCGGGGAGAGCGAGCGAGCCCGAAGATGCGGGGGAGACGGGGCAAGCAGCAGTCAAACCCGGTCTTAAAAATTGCTCTTCCCACATTGCAACCCCCCTCCGCCCCAAGCTTGAACGTGAAGGGCAGATATCACATTTCCAGAAGCAGAACTGAAAACCCTGCGCAGAGCAGTGAGGTGTCTGCTGGAGAAGTTCGTGGAGGGGCGGCGGTTGTGCCCCTTGGGTTAAGCTGCCCTGGGCCTCGCTGTTGGAATCTGGGCTCCTCCGCTTGCCATGCAGCTTCCCGCCAACGCACACCTGGGAGGCGGCAGGTAATGGCCCAGGGGCTTGGGGCCCTGCCACCCAGGTGGGAGACCCCATGGCGTTCTGGGGTCCTGGCTTGGGCCCTGGCTGTTGTGGGTAGCTGGGGAATGAACAGGTGCATGGAATATCGCCCCCACACCCGCCCCGTCATTCTACTTCCCAAGGAGGTGAAAAATAAACATTAAAAAAAAGTAACGGGAAAAATGGAACTGAAAGATAAGTGTATTTTGGTGCAAACGCTTTCAAGCCACGCATAATTTTCTCATAACATACGTTTTCCATGAACTCGCTGAAGACCCCCTTGTATGTGTGCGGTTTTTGAAGATTTTGGCACCAAAATAAACATCGTTAAATTCCTTTTGCCTGTGAGGATTCTGAAGCGCCTTCCTATGAAAGGAAACTGGCGTGGGTTTGGGAGGAAGGAGGTTAGCGCGGTCCCTTGCCGAATGGGCGCTCAGACCTCTGCTTCCTGTTTGGAAGCCTGCCGAGGGAGCAGGGAGCACCGTCCGGGTCTCGCGCGGGCGGCAGGGACTCAGGCACTGAGCCGTCCTCTGGGGCCTCACAGGGTGTGCTGTGTCAGAGCGGGAGTCGGAGCAGAGAGCAGAGCGCAGGTGCTCCCGTGCGGACACGGACAACTCGACCAGGGGGCGCAGAGCCTGCTCCCTATCTTTTATACATTGCTTATTCCCCCAAATCAGCTGAGATGCTTACACGTTACCCACGTCGCCCTTCACACACCCCTAGATCCTGCTTAACCTTGCCCCTCTGGATCGACAGAGGGTGGGCAACAGGAGAGGACATTGTACAGTACCAGTCCTCATCACGGCCAAGTGCACGGCCGTGCCCTGCAGGTGCCACCGTTGGCATGGGCTAGGCTCTACATTTGCATGGGGTTCCTGAACCTTCAAGCAATGCACTAGTCTGAATGAGGAGTACCCCGAAGATGTATCTGTACACATAAAGCATTTGTGTGGGCGGTGTAGGGAGTTGCACCAGCTGCAACACTAGCATCCCACAGAGATGCCGGTTCGAGTCCTGGCTGATCCACTTCCATTTCAGCTCCCTGCTGATGCACCTGGGAATGTGGTCCAAGTGCTTGGGGCCCTGCACCCATGTGGAGGACCTGGAAGAAGCTCCTGGCTCTTGGATTTCACCTGGCTCAGCTCTGGCCTTATGGCCATCTGGGGAGTGAACCTGCAGGTGGAAGCTCTCTGTCTCTTTCGCCCTCACTCTATAACTAAAGCATTGCTGCATCCACAGTGAAAGGTGTTTCGAGAGCCTGGGACTTGCTTTGGGTTTCACAGGGCCTTGGAGGGCGTTCCTGGAAGCGCCAGCTGTGAGGTCCCTAAGTTTTCCAGCGCTGCCTTCAAGAGAATCATGGTCTTTGGGAGGGTAGCTCTCAGAGAGCGATTTTTAGATGTGTTTCCGGGAATACTTTCAGATCTTAAACTTATAGATGAAAATGTTAGTGACAAGAAGGGTCAGACAGGACAATCCATAAGCACCACTTCCATTGGGATTAAGAACTGAATTTTGGGGGTCAGCACTGTGGTGCACGAAGCTGCTGCCTGTGGTGTCAGCATCCCATATGGGCGCTGGTTCTAGTCCTGGCTGTTCCACTTCGATCCAGCTCTCTGCTATGGCCTGGGAAAGCAGTAGATCATGGCCCAAGTTCTTGGGCCCCTGCACCCATGTGGGAGACCTGGAGGGGGCTCTAGGCTCCTGGCTTCAGATCAGCGCAGCTCTGGCTGTTGCGGCCAACTGGGGAGTGGACCAGTGGATGGAAGACCTTTCTCTCTCTCTCTCTACCTCTCTTTCTCTCTTTGTAACCGACTTTCAAATAAATAAATAAATCTTTAAAAAAAAAAAAAGGAACTGAATTTTGGTTTTGTTCGCTCAGCAAGCACAGGTGTCTGAAAATACCCTGTATGCCCCCATCTGGGTGGCGAACCCTGCACACTGCCAGCTTTGCACTGTGAGCCACAAGGAATCCATGCCACCCATAAGCAATGGAGATGCTATTACTGAGAGCCAAGGTTTCTCAAACCTAGCAGATCCAGGAGTTTGCAAGTTTCAGACAAAAAAAATAAATAAATAAAATGAAGAGGTGCTTGCCTGAAAGAGCGCAGGGTGGGAGAGCTGTCTGGGAAAGCAGTGGGAGGGTGGGCGCTGCGGCATAGCAGGGTGGGCGCCTGCGTAGATCCTGCACCCCACACTGAGTGTCTTCGACGGAGTCTGCCTCTGCCTCTGCTTCCCATGCAGCTTCCCGCTAATGTGCCTGGGGGCACATGGAAAAAACAGAGCCAAGGGAAATGAAGCAAGGTATAATTAAAATAATAAAGGCCACTTTAATGACGTGTAAGTCTTATTCCACTTGCCTCTTTAAAAAAATTAGTAAGGGACTGGCTAACCTTCCACCTGCAGCACCAGCATCCCATATGGGCGCTGGTTCTAGTCTTGGCTGCTCCACTTCTGATCCAGCTCTCTGCTATGGCCTAGGAAAGCAGTAGAAGATGGCCCAAGTGCTTGGGTCCCTGTACCCACATGAGAGACCCAGAAGCTCCTGGCTTTGGATTGGCCCAGCTCTAGCCATTGCACCATTTGGGGAGTGAACCAGTGGATAAAGCCCTCTCTCTCTCTCTCTCCCTCTCTCTGTAACTCTACCTCTCAACTAAACAAAACCTTTAAAAAATAAAAAAATTTTAAAAAAAGTAAAAGAACTAAAGGGAGGTCGAGGTAGATTCATCTGGGTTTTGAAGGGCAAACCAAGATTATTTCTTTAACATGTACTACAAACAACCCATCCTGACCTCCACTACAGTCACCCACTCACTGAGCACAGCACTATAAATAAAATCCGGCACTGTGGCTTTTCTTCAGGCTGTGACTAGAGCCGCATGCCATGTCTGTTTTAAAAAGAGGTCTCCAGCATCCCATGCGTGAGATCCTGTCATCACCGAACTCACCTAAGTGAAGACTTTTTAAGCGATTACCCCTATCATTGTCTACTACTGCATTAGCTTTTCATTATATAATAGGAAACTGGCTATAAATACATCTCCCCAATGTGAGGAGAAAGGATCCTACCTACATCCTGTGTTACATCACCAGCTGCAGCGTGCCAACATAACAGCTCACATACTTATCTCAAGAATGCTCTTCTGATCATACCATTGCTCCCCTCCTGGTCCTTATCCACCACAGCCTGGGCCTGTGTCAACCAAACATGGTTTATAACCCCGTGTTCATAATTACTGCATTTCAGAGAGCTTCCAGGAGGCCGCCCTCCAACTCCCTTTCCCCAGCACCCTGGTAAGTGGATGTGTGGTGCCCACCCTCTGCTGGTTTGAGCTCCCGGGGACACCAGGAGGGTCACACAGAGCCAGCAGTAATTTTTTTAAAATTTATTTGAAAGTCAGAGTTACACAGAGAGAGGAGAGGCAGAGAGCGAGAGAGAGAGGTCTTCCATCCGCTGGTTCACTCCTCAATTGGCTGCAATGGTCGGAGCTGGGCCAATCTGAAGCCAAAAGCCAGGAGCTCTTCCCACATGGGTGCAGGGGCCCAAGGACTTGGGCCATCTTCCACTGCTTTCCCAGGCCACAGCAGAGAGCTGGATCAGAAGAGCAGCAGCCGGGTCTTGAACCGGCGCCCATAAGGGATGCCGGCGCTTCAGGCCAGGGCGTTAACCTGCTGAGCCACAGCGCTGGCCCCAACAGTAATTCTGATGGAATCAGCTCTAGACAGCAGCACACACACGCTGCTGTCTCTTGGTGACTGGACTGGCGATGCAACAGTTCCACAGAACCCATCCCCCCAGGCCTGCGCAGCAGCATCTGTGACCTCCCACCGCGCCCTGCACCTTCCTCACCCCTCCTTCTGGAATCGAATGGGCAAAGCTTCCTCTGCCTCTCAGCCTCGCAGGAGCTGCTCTGAAGCGTGGGGAGCCTGCAATGGTACGAGGGCCTTCAAAACATTCACAGAAAAACTGAGTTAGTAACAGGGTTCCTGCCACCTGTGGGGGAGACCTGGACTGAGTTCTTGGCCACAGGGGGGTCCAGGAGACCAACCACTGCAGGCATTTGGGGAGCAAACCAGATGAGAGATCGCTCGCTCTCTCTGCCTCTCAAATAAATAAAAGTGGCCGGCGCCGTGGCTCACTAGGCTAATCCTCCGCCTAGCGGCGCCGGCACACCGGGTTCTAGTCCCGGTCGGGGCGCCGGATTCTGTCCCGGTTGCCCCTCTTCCAGGCCAGCTCTCTGCTGTGGCTCGGGAGTGCAGTGGAGGATGGCCCAGGTGCTTGGGCCCTGCACCCCATGGGAGACCAGGAGAAGCACCTGGCTCCTGCCATCAGATGAGCGCGGTGCGCGGGCCGCAGCGCGCCGGCCATGGCGGCCATTGGAGGGTGAACCAACGGCAAAGGAAGACCTTTCTCTCTGTCTCTCTTGCTGTCCACTCTGCCTGTCAAAAAAAAAAAAAAAAAAAAAAGTCTCTTTGAATGCAAAAAAAAAAATTCCATGCGTAATTTTTCCATGTTACGCATTCCCCACACACTCTCTGAAGTGTCCTTTGCAAAGGGCAGCTCCCAGTGCGAAGCTAGAGGTCTCCGTTTAAGCAGTACCACTGCTAGGCACATATACTAAAGATGCTTCCTGGGGCCGGCGCTGTGGTGCAGCAGGCTAAGGCCCTGGCCTGCAGTGCTGGCATCCCATATGGGCACCAGTTTGACCCCTGGCTGCTCCACTTCCGATCCAGCTCTCTGCTATGGCCTGGGAAAGCAGTGGAAAATGGCCCAAGTCCTTGGGCCCCTGCACCCATGTGGGAGACCTGGAAGAAGCTCCTGGCTTCCGATCGACCCAGCTCTGGCCATTGTGACCATTTGGGGAATGAACCAGCAGATGGAAGACCTCTCTTTCTCTGGCTCTGCCTCTCTCTGTAACTCCTTCAAACAAATAAAATAAATCTTAAAAAGAAAAAGAAAAAAAAAAAGACGCTTCCACACACGTTGCAAAGATACATCTGAGATCTGCATATTCTCTGCTATCCACTGCTGCATTAACTGTTACAGCAAAAACCCTGGAAACAGTTGTGAAGTGTCCACCACAGGACATGGCACACGGCCATGGATGGCATCCTGCTGGCTGTAATACGATTTCCAAGATACACTGCTGCAGGTTGCACCCTTTACGCTTTTACTAGACACATGTCTTGCTACTAACTTAGGAAGATCCTTTTTTGTTTTGTTTTGTTTATTTAAAGATTTATTTATTTGAAAGTCAGAGTTACACAGAGAGAGGAGAGGCAGAGATGTCTTCCATCCGCTGATCCACTCCCCAGATGGCCACAATGGCCAGAGCTGCGCCGATCTGAAGCCAAGAGCCAGACGCTCCTTCTGGGTCTCCCACATGGGTGCAGGGGCCCAAGGACCTGGGCCATCTTCTGCTGCTCTCCCAGGCCACAGCAGAGAGCTGGATTGGAAGTGGAGCAGCCGGGACTAGAACCGGCACCCGTATGGGATGCCGGCACTGCAGGCGGCAGCTTTACCTGCTCTGCCACAGCGCTTGGCCCCAGGAAGATCCTTGTGTCCATGATGGTCTCCTGGGCTATTAATTGCATCGGGGCCTTGTTGATGTGCTTCGGCCAACAAGCCTCTAGCTACTCTCTCCCCACAGCTGTGTTCTCCAAGCCTACCGGTGCTGAGGCTTTAAACCCGCGAGACTACTGGCAATGAGAGGAAGCCTAATCCTTTCAGATCTTAAGTCCCCAGGTCTGACAAGACTGCTTCATTCCCTTGTCTACAAACCAAGTATGTGGCAAGGCACTTTCTGATGAGATTTCACAGGGCATTAAAAATCTCTACCAGAAGCAATGAACTGTGCAACCAGGGCCTGAGAGATCCTACGGAGCAGGAACTGGCGCCGTGGCTGAGTGCCCACAGTGTGCCAGGGACTGCAGAGAGCATGGTAGATGTCCTCTGCTCACCTTCCCCAGCAGGTTCACTGACAGCTCCCGTGTCTCCACGGGTGGGCCAGGACGCAGAGGTAGGGCTGTGCACCCATGACCTCTTGGCCATGTGTCTCCCACTGCACTGCCGTCACTCCCTCGGACTGTAAAACTGTCCTGCAGCACCAATGTGAACCCGGGGAATTCAACAACACCAAAACCAAGGGCACCAGGAGAAACACGGCTCTGCCAGCGAACCCCGGCAGTGGTGGCCAGCACTTCCTCAGGATACAAAGAAAGCAAATCCACAGTACAGGAAGGCACAAGGGAAAGGGGCAAAGAGCTGCTTCACAGCCTACTCCCACCCTAGTAGTGAGTCCTCCCAGAAACACAAGAGCACCAAGTCCCGCCCCCACGCACCAGGAGAGTAAGGCGCAGAGGCTGTGAACACTGAGATAGCAAAATGATTTCCTTTTATTCTGTGAGCGTCACCACCGTAGAGACGTGTGCATGATTTATGTAATTTTAACATGAGGACGGGAGCTAAGGCTCAAGGAAGGCGTCCAGGGAAACTGGCGCCGTTTATTCCAGATCTCCGGGGCAGGCAGGGCTGACTTCTCTCCACTTCTCTGCACTGCTGAACTCTCGCGGGCCTGCAGGGCACCGGCCAAACCCTCCCAGCTACGTCTTGCGGCCAGATGTTCTAGAAAAGAAGCAAACAAGAAATGAATGTCTTGTCGCGGCGCGCTGAAACGCCTCCTGTTGCCCTGCACCGCACTGTCGCTGGCTTAACTGCGAAAGCCGTTAACATTTCAAACCCTTTCCACACACAGCCTGTCTGCAAAACGAACTTGAGAACACTGCCCAGCATTTACACGAAAGCAAAACCACAAAGGCAGACCAAGGCTGCACTTGCAGCAGACAAGGCAAGCCCGCCCCGCAGCCAGCTTCTCGCCGTCGTCCCTGCGGCTCGCGTGATCGCTACAGCCCTTCCTCTCTTCTTGGTTTAACTCCTCACTTTCCAGGAGTACGCTGCTAACTACAGTCCTGGGAAGTGTGTGTGTGTGTGTGTGTGTGCGCGCGTGCAGGGGCGGCGGTGTACAACCTTCCCATGTCTGAAAGCTCAGGGTGGATGAGCCGGGGCGTGAACACAGGTGCAAGGTCAGCTTTGCCCATGACCTTGGAGGTCACTCCTCTCGTTTCTAAAAGCCTCCCACTGTGATGAGACAGCTGTCCAAGCTTACTCTCATTTTTTTTTCTTTTTTCATAGCTAAGTCATTTTTTCTTCTTGAGAAAAGCATGTTTAGGATTTTCAGGTTTGATACGTCTCAGATTTCAATAGGATGTGTCCAGGGACGGCTCAGTCATGTGCAGGAGACTCGGGACCCTTTCACCTAAGGCCCCCAAGAACTCCAGAATCCACCCCGCTTCCTCCTCCTCTCTGCTTTCTGGGACAGTCATGCAAGTCTTGCCTTCTACCTGTCCAGAATAAACAGACCTTCAGCGATCCTGAGCCCTCTGCCCTCCAGGGACCCAGCAGAGGGAGCCCAATCCTCTGCAGCCCTCCCCTACATCGTCCACCTGGGACCAGCCGAGCTCTCCTTCCAAAAACCTGCTGAAATAAAACATCCACTCGCTGTCCTCTCTCTCCTCCGTGCAGTCTGCATTAGGACTGCACGTGTCCTAGCTCTAGTTTGAGCCTTATAAGTCTTAAGGACAAAAGCAAAGCTCTCACTGGGCAGCAACCTACCTGTTTAGAACAGCCCATTCACCTGCTCCGTCTCAGGGTCCAGATCAATGTCGTAAAAACAGGGCCGGGTGGGGAGCCCAGGCATTGTGCTCATCTAGGGTAAAAACAGCAGCAAAAATAAGCTTGCAGGGATCTGTCCTCCTACCTTCCCCTGGGGGAGAAAGCCCCAGGCACAAAGAGAACATCAGCTTGTGGCTCTCAACAAGGCAGGCACCTTCTTATTCTATAGATACTAAAAGTCACACTGCCTTACACATTAAGCGCCAAGTCACCGATCCTGTTACGAACGTGAAGGGACACCCCCACGCTCTCCTGGAAGAGACCGAGTTTCGCCGTGGTCTTCTACACTGAGATGAGACGCAGCAGGGAGGAGCGCCCACCGGCGCCGGCGACGGCAGGGGCTGGGGGGCCGAGGAGTCGCCACTCACCGCTGACGCCTGTACCTCACAAGACAACAGGAGGCGCAGGGCCTGCCCGCACTTAAAGTTAGTTTCAGCAAGGCTTGTTTTAGTGAGGCTACAGCTTCAGTGGCATGTCAGAAATCGGAATCCTTTAACCTGGGCCTCGACTTTCTATAAGCCAGATGGCGTTACCATCACCATTCTTACTGGTCCGACGTGCCTCTCTAAAACTCAGCTGGACTGCGTGTAAGTCTCTTTTCTAGAGACTCGGTTTTGACAAGTGTTTGCTTAGAGACAGATTTGCAATGCTTGTTAAGTAAAAATGTAGTGTATTTTTATCTGTTAACAATGTCCTGTATAATGAACGCATACAAGCTCCAAATCAGATTCAGACAGGAAAACGGCTTAGACTGAACTTCTAAAATGTGACTATGAAAAAAAAAGGATGAGTCATCTTCTATAACATGAAACAAGCACCCTTTAGAAAACCGAACTCTGACATCTGAGTGCCAATCAACACTCCCTAAAATAACCCACAGGGATCTGACAACTGGTTTCTTCCTTATTCCGTAAGAGACAAGGAAGTGAGGGGTCTGGGAACAAGAAGTGGGAAGGAAGGGATTGGTTTCTCATGGAGCAGAAACCCTGCAGATGATGTTGTCAAGTGCACGTGCCCATGGGCGGGCGGGGCGGCACGGCAGCCGCGAGCGCACGGCAGGAGACACTTGGGCGATTTCTGACACAGCAAGGTTTTGGCACTTTTTCCCAAAGAGAATTTTCCCCTTCAACATTGGTCAGTGCTGATCAGGAAAGAGAGAGACAGACAGATACCCACGTGTACAAACAAATATGAGGCCTACATATAAAACTCCAAAGCCACCACACTTTGAATTAACGTATAAAATACTCAAATGCCCTGAGCTCCACTGAGCAACCACAGACATCAAAATAGCGGTTAAGCCATCTCGTGACGGGCAGAGACATTTTGGCCCAAGTAGAAGTCCAAGACCTCTGACACACACATTGCATTAGATGATAAAGTCTTCCACCGGGCGGGCTGTGTGTGTCTCTCTGAGCTGCAGACAAAGTTACTGGTCTTTGGCCTGACCACTTCCAGCTCTGTTTTTGTTGCTATAGTTACCCCTCTGCCTGCAAACAGCAAAAGTGACGACACGGAGAGCAGCAACGGCTCTCTCAGTCGGTGGCTGCTGGTAATTTCCCCAGAAGGAACACCGTATTTCTGCAGTACTCAGGGTGCTGGGTAAATGGTTTAACATTCCCACCAAAAGGGAGTGTCTGCAAATCCTGGAGGCTAAGCCTCCCGAGTGGCCAAGAAACCTGGGCACGGGATCAATGCCACCCTTGGGACAAGGCTATCTAGCTATGAGCACGCTCTTGAGTACTCCTCTACTTTTCTTTCAAATAAACAAATCTTAAAAAAAAAAAAAGAAATCCCTGAATTTCAGGCACAAGCTCTAGAGCTGTCAGCAAGACAGACAGCGTGTGTCCCTACCACATAGCACTACTGGTAGAACTGAGCGTAAGCCATCAATAAACTTTAGTTGAGATCATATAAGAGGGCCTCAAAAGGTTTGTAGAAAAATGGAATTAAACATGTTTTATTTTGATGCAAAAATTTTGAAACTGATGCATAGGTTTTTTCAATAGATGCATTTTCCCATGAACTCTTCCCAGACCCCCTTCTGTATGGTATCATGACCAAAGCCCCTCAACAAGGCCCTTCCTGGATTCAGCCAAGGGTACACTGCCCTGGGAAATCTCTTATTTAGTAGAACAGTCATGGCATCGTACTTGAACTGACACCAAGACGGTGCACAGCAAGAGATGAATCCAGCTTTCTCCTTGGCAGTGAACTCTGCTGGTTTGGCCCCTGCTTGACGGCTGCAGCAGAACTTTAGGACGGGACAGACAGACGGGCTCCTCTCTCACGCCCTCACTTACCGTTCCCACTAAGGGGTACAGAAAGCCAGCCCCGACGCTGGCGCGGATGTCGCGAATGGGCAGAACGAAGCCAGTGGGCACACCTTTCTGCTCTGGGTTGTGAGACAAGGACAAGTGTGTTTTGGCCATGCAGATGGGTAGACTCCCAAAGCCCTGGGGAAAGAGGGAATAGGAGCAGGAAGTGGTCCCACAACCAAGAACATCTGGGCATCGTGATTATATGGACTCTTAGTTTCATCTGAAACATCGAACTCTTTACATCTGTCCTACATCTCTGCCTCACTGTCATCTTTAGTTATTTTAGACAAAAAGAATCTCTGTTGAGTGACAGAAGTAAGTACTTCAATCATATGTACAAGTGACTATTTTTTCCATCTATAATCATTAAAGATAGCATTTTAAAGCAAACATGAGAATAAAATTGTAGAGTCTCTAAATATCGTCATAAGACATTCCACATTCTCATGAGTCTCCATACACTCATGGAGCAGCGGGCAAATGATGAACTCAGGACTGGATCACATAGTCCAAACCCGGAGTTTCAGAGAGAAGGCAATCTGTGGGGAGAACCCAGGGATTCTGACTTCCAGGGCTGATTCACGAAGAGTTGAAAGAGCAAGCCAACAAACAGCTACCTGCTTTGTGTAGACTTCAGCTTGTGCTGGGTTCTGGGAGAAATCACGTCATCGGCCCGTAGATCTTCCGTGCAATGATCCTGATCTTTTCCTCAATGGGAAGCTAAAGGCACAAGAAAGGGACGGGGAGAGCACACTGGATGGAGTGAGGATGCTTAGCAGCACGCCCCATCCCAGGGGCAGTGTCCCCTGAGGGGCCACAAGACATTGTTATGTACATATATAGAAGCAATAGAGGTTTGCTGGGGTAGAAACACTTTAACACTGAGTCCTAGATTTGATTAGTGGAAACTGTCCCACAGAGGTAAAATGATTATAGCTTTGTGAGCAGGCTTCAAAAAGCTTGTGGCAGGGCGGGGCCTGGCCCAGGGAGTAGACACTGCATTCACACTGGAGCGTCTGACTTGATTTCCAACTCTAGTGTCCTGCTAGGCGGGACCCTGGGAGGCCGCAGGTAATAGCTCCAGTAGTTGGGTTCCTGTCACCCATGTGGAAGACCTGAACTGAGTTCCTGGCTCCCAGGACCTCGGTTCAGCACAGTCCCAGCCACTGCAGGTATCTGGAGAGTAAAAAAGCAGACGGGAGCACTCTGTCTCTCAAATAAAAGCTTATGGAAAATGTCATTATGAAAGACTATCCATGGATTTCAAAATCTTTCTGTACTAAATAAACTTACCTTTAATTCCATTTTCCATGAACTTAAAATTTTTTTTAAACTTATTTGCAAAGAAGAGCAAGAAAAAGAGAGAGAAAGAGAGAAAGCTATCTTCTAGCTACCGGTTTGGGCCCCACATGTCCACAACAGGCAGAAGTGGGCCAGACTGAAGCCAGGAGCCAGGAAGTCCATCTGTGTCTCCCACACAGGCGGCAGGGACCCAAGCACTTGAGCCACCACCTGTGGCTCCTCAGGATGCTGGGCTGGAAGCAGAGGCAAGACCTGACCCCAAGCACTCCAATCTGCGGCGCGGGCATCCCAAGCAGTGGCTGAGTCCACTGTACCACACGCCTGCCCCTCCCACACACTTTCTGAAGTAGCCTGTATGTGCAGCTGTACACAACAGATTATATACATATACTACCATACATATACATGTATATGTGTGTGTGTATATATATATATATAAAGATACTGTACTAAAATTAGGCAATATATCTGACTCTACGTCCTAGCACTAGAGCAGAAGGAACGTTTTGGCAAGTCTGTTTTTTGAAAGGAGTGGTAATCTAGCTATAGAAATAAGAATTCCTGGGGTGTGTTGTGGCTCAGGGGTTAAGCCGTGCCTGGGATGGTTGTAGCCCATTTGAAGTGCCTGACTAAGGTTCTGACTACTCCATGCTTCTGATGCATTCCTCTCAATGCGCCTGGAGACAGCAGACAGTGGTCCAGTCCTTGGGTCCTGCCACCCCCAACGGAGCCCGGGGGAGCTCCTGGCTTCCGCGTGGCCCATCACGACTGCTGCGCCCATTTGGGGAGTGAACCAAAAGATGGGAGGTAATTCTGTTGCTCTGCCTTTCAAAGAAAGAAATAAATCTTAAAAATTTAAAAATTCCTTCCCTTGGAACTAAACACGATCATTCATGAAGGGCTTTGCTAACGGACATGAAGA